AGACATAACAAAACCCACCAACGGGAAACTGGTTTCAGAAATTCAAATGGAAACAATACTTTTTAATGATAACCAACAACACAGTCCCAGCAAGGCAGTCACTGAGCTGATGCCTTACATCTTTCTGAGGGAGGTCTCTTCAGAGATGATTCCTCCAGGGCTTACCCAGGCACCAGATGGAGCAGAGCAAGGCGGGCAACCACCCCTGCTCCTGGACACATCTCCCAGCAGCCGGCCCACAGGGAAAGGGTAAGGGCTAGACACGTGGCAAAGGTGCTACTCACAGGCTATGTGATGGCAATGGCTCTGCTAAGCACACCTGAGCTGGCAAAGGGGCCACAAACACTCACTGCTGCAGCAGTTTCTTCTCCAAACCCTGTACCCACTGCAAGGAGGTCAAGGCTCTAAGCAGTGCCCCATGGGCAGCTTGTACTGCTCTAATGCAGGAACTTCAATAGCCCTCAGGCAGAAGAAGAGCCCAAGTCCAGGCCTCCAGTACTCCACCTGGGTGTCCTCAGGCCAATGATATTCAGCAGTTGTAAAACCCCCATGGGACAGATGTTATCTGGAGACAAAAATTCATTTCCTGGCAGGAAATGAATAAAAAATGCTGAAAAAAAACTTTACTTGGATGCGCTTCTTGGTGAAAATAATTCTTACACCCAAGTTTTCTGTCCAGTTATAACTCAATGCTGCCTACACTTTTCATGATCTAGAAGAGAGGAAATCATCATCTATTCAGGACCTTGGACCATAACCAAAATCAAGGCTGGAGGCAGGTTACAGCAGCAGCTCAGTGCTGGCCGGCCCCTGTCCTTGACCCAGAAGAAATCAGCTCTGTGTTCCCATCACTGCTACACAACCCCTGACAGAGGTGTCTCTGTACAGGGACGCCCAGGACACTTAACAGGACACCTCAGAAGATGCAATGTCTTGGAAGCAGTGGAGGTGCCCTCATCTCAGCATGAACTAATGTCTCTGTACAACCAAGGAAGGCAGACACCAGTGTCTGTGCCCTGGCTTTGCGCTCTTAATAACTCTGCTGCTCTTCAAACAAGCTCAAAGGGTTCCAAACCCATTACAGTCTCTTCAGCCCACAGTGTCCAGAGCACACAGAGCTTGGCTTGCCTCAAGTTCTGGCACACACTGACCCTGGGGACAACGAGAGTGCACATGCCTGACATAGCCTGGCTTCCCAGCCTGCCCCAGGCCACAGCTACAACTTTAAGTGTTTGTCCTCCAGTTACTGTGAGGCAGGCTGGTGAATTCTTCCTCTTCTAGCAAACAGACCAACCAGCAGCCACACTGGTGAAGAAAGGAAACTCCACAAGCAAACCTTTCAGCTCTGAGAAATTGTTTCCTTCTAGAAGCCCGCTGAAGTTACGTGGCTGAAGACCTCCCCTAGCAGCAGGAGCTGCTGGTATCATGCTACTCCTACAGTACTGCTGAAAACCCTTCTGCACATCATTTCAGGCCAGCAAGAAACATCGACCACCACCTACAAGTCTCTGACAGGGACCAGCCACCACCCCCCCCCCCCCTCTACAGCTGCTTTCTGAGTGCTGGGGAGGCAGCCCCTCTTCAGTGGAGACTTTCTTCTCTGATGGCATCGTACTGCAGCAACAAGTCACATGCTTCCTTCTACCTCAGAAGCACAAAAAGTGGTCTTCTTGGTATTGTTTTCATTTGGCTGCAGTGTTTCTGCTACCCCTATTTGGGGCTCTTGGGCACTGATGGTTAAGGACACAAGTGTGGTGCATGTGGTTTCTTCTTAAAATGTAAACAGTCTCATTTCCTCATTTTTCTCCTTGCCAGAAGTTTCCTCAAGGACAAGTAGCAGGAAGGTGATACAAACTTACCAGAGTCCATGTTTTTAGGCACTTAGGGGACACAGTTTCTGGCCCTCAGAGTCACTCTTTGCATCAAGCTTCCCACCACACTCACCTCAGCTGCAGAAGAAAAAGTGGGAAGGCTGGGAGGGATATATTAGCAGTTGAGCTAAGAGAAAGGCAGTACTGTGCATATCTGACATCAAGTGCTATGCTCCAGGTTTCTGCTGTGAACTAGGGATGAGAAACAGCTTTCCTGGTCACCAATCTCAGGATCAAGACTATTTGAGGTGCTGAGGAAGGCTACATTCACAGCTCTAGGATCTACCTTGACACCCAGGTGGAAAGGCTTTGTCAGAATGAAGTCAGGACTGTCAGATGGAACTGTCTGAAAAATGAACAGCATTGCAAGTTGGCTAAGACAACCCTGAAAAGCTTCCATTGCTAGTTTCTGGCAGAACGGCTTTGGCCAAGCCCAGCTTGCCGTAGAACTTGCAGGCTCTTGGTGGATCCTGAGGCAGAAGAAAGACAAACCCTTCCAAACTAATTTCAGTGCTACTTTGAGGTACGCCTTTTAAGTTCAACAACCTTACTCATCTTAGACGGCTGACTACTGCAGTGCAGACATCTCTCATGTCACAGTGAAAGCCATCAGCCTAACAGTGATACATATCACCCTGCTTTCAGGGCAGGTCTCCAACAGCAGTAGTCAGCAACTAAGACTCCAGCTGGCTGCTGGTTACTAGTGGCACTCAATATTGGGATGAACACTCAGGAGTCAACACCGGGACTTCTTATGCTTTCTATGTTTGCTGCTGACCTTGATGACAGGATAGCGCATATAGGCACCGAACTGGGAGGAGTGGTTTCATATACAGAAGGGCAGAGCTGCTATTCAGAGGGACCTAGACAGGTTGGAGAAAGAGGCTGAAAGGAACCTCAAGAAGTTCAGTGGCAAGTGCACAGCCGGGCCACTGTGATGGAGTAACCTCCAGCAGCAGAACAGGCTGCAATTGGAGACAACGGGCAGGAACAGAACTTTGCAGGAAAGGACCTGGAAGCATGGGTGAACAAGCAACCCAGGGCTCCTCAGTGCACCTGTGCAGCAAGGGCCAACCACTAGCAGGAGCACAGTCAGTAGGGTGAGGACAAGGATCCTCATCTCTGCTCAGCACTCACAGGACCATCTGGAGAGCTGGGTACAATTTGGGATCAACAGCACAAGGACAGTGACATACCAGAGCAACTTCAGTGGAGGCTATCAAGATGGGCTGCAGCATACAATGTATAAGCAGAAGCTGAGAGTGCTAGGTTTGTTCAGCCTGGACAGCAGGCAAAGGGAAATCTTCTTCTTATCTGCTATCACTCATGGAGACCCAGAAAGACACACAGGAAAAGCTGAAAGGCAACAGGCACAACATGAGAAATCCAGATGAGACACAAGGAAAAACCTTCACTGTCATCTTGGTCAAACAACTATAATGGTAAATGCCACCATTTCTCTGGTCTCATCTCCAAAGACAGTCAACCTGCTCCAACTTCGAACTTAGCATTTCTTTAAGCAGGGAGCAGACAAGCAGCCTTCAGATATCCTTTCCAGCAAAACTGCCCCAGAAGCATCACTTCCCACATGACCTCTCACTTTGTGGGAAAGTGCATTGAGAAAATGTACCTTTCATTTTTCTGTTTTGTGAAATTGGGCTGACAGGATTTCCTTATTCCAGCCTTTGTTGTCTAGCAGGTGTACCAAATAACCCAAACAACAGTGTGGAATAGATGACTCAGCTCTTCAGAACATGAGGCTCTATCTGCAGAGCCTTCTCCCAGCACATGCAAACAGGAGAGGGAGGCACTTCTTGTGCCATGCTTAGTGTTTTGTTTCAGAACTTGCTTGTGATGCAGTTTAGAGACTGTACGCTTTCTTCAGATCTGAAATCCTCAGAGCTGCCCCAAAGTTTCTAGCAAACAAACTTAATGCTTTCATTTTACACCAGAAACATAACAGTTATCAGGAAAATTCCCCTCCCACACCCCAGAGTCCATACTTGATGCGATGATCTCACAGTTACTCAGGTTCAATGTTGCTTTTAAAAACTGATGTAAAGCCACTGGGCTCAACTTTTAAGCTAAGGCTCACTTGGAAAAGGTATGTATGATTAAATACAGAAAAAATGGCAGTTGAGAGAAAGGACCCAAAAGCAGTCTTCCATCTCCTCTCTCCCACTCCTCTCCTAAGCACACACTGCTATACTTTAAGAGACATGACCTACCAAGTACAACTGCTCTCATCCTGCCAGACCCTGCCGTAGGTCTCTGCTGTTGCCTTTCCCAGCTTCTTTGCAATCCTTAAATGGTCTTCTCATGATGAGAGCCACCAATATCTGCATGGACACCCCCTCTTGCTATGCCCAACTCCACAGAACATCCCACAAGGTGCTGCAGAAAAGCCAGGAGCACAGAGATAACTGCACACCCCCTTGCTAGAAGTCTGGTCCAAAATGAACAGCCACAGGGGTCGAAACCAGATGTTATTAAAAAGATAAATGGGAAGAAACATCAGGGACCTGCACCTTCTTTAGTCGTGGGGGCACAGCAGCTAAGGGAACTGTGCAAAATAAGGGAAAGATCTCCTATCCAAATACTTCCCAACCAGGAACACTAGAACAGAGGGAGACAATGAACTTCCCTTTCATATCCCCCAGAGGAAACCATTTTGATTCCGCTATCGGGTGGCACAGTAAGCCAAGTCATCCTTCAGCAGGTATCTCCATACATGTAGTTAAAAACAGGTAACATATTGACTAAAATATTTTAACCAAATTCTCACGTTATAAAAGCACAGCAGGTGGAATTTCTCTTTTCACAAACAGTGATATGCATCCTCCCATGTGGAGAGCTGTGGCTGCATATTTTTCTGATTAAGTAAATATGAGACATCTTGCTTACACTGCAAATCCAATGAGCCTCAATGCTGACAGTGCACTGGTATATGTATTCAGGAGTTGCTGGCCCACCTCAGGGATGGTCAAGCTGCCTGCTGGGAGGGCTAAACCATTAGCTGTACTGACAGACACAAAAGTTGCCCCTTATCATAGGTCCAACAACTCCTAGGACATCTGATCAGTACTGCAAGACAGAGGTGAGTGAAGGATGAGGCTGATAAGAAAACACTACTCACAACCTGATTTTATTGTGCATTTTGGTAACTGGAGAGAGATTCCTATGACAGTGTGCACATTCATGGTTTGTGATGCAAAACAGTTCAAATGACAGGCTAGGAAGGACCTTTCCCTTTTTGCTCTGTTTTCTCAGTTTCTGAAAGTTTCCCTAGCAGAAGAGGAACAATGTCAGCTTACAGAATTGCTCATCTTCAGAAGAGCCCACCCTGTTCCAGTTAAATGAATGGAAGAGGATCCCACTAACTGCAAAAGAAGCTGGACAAGGTCCCTGCTCAGAATGGAAACTACTCAAGAGGGGAAGATGAGAAAGCAGATCCTCCATGCTCACAAAAGACAACACAAATACACCTTCTTTTAAAATCAACTCTTTCCATCCTCACATTTATTAAAAAAAAAAAAATACCAAAAACCCCAACCAAACATAAAAAAAACCCAAACCAGTCTTTGCAAACAAATCTCTTGTTTCTCCTTCCCAATTCAGTGGGATTGCTGCATGCACTCCATGACACCTGACTGTGGGGTGCAGAGAAAGTGTACTGGAACTCAGTCATATTTCCATAGGAAAAGCTGACTCATAACTTACAACATCCTTGAAATGCTAACAGAGGTTGTTAAGAAGCATCCAAGTGTCAAGTCAAGAAACAGCACTGCAGCCATCTGAGGCCTGACATGGCTCCTAGCTCTAGCAGAGTAGAAGGCCCTCCTTTGCTGCCAGGCGCTCGCGATGGATTTTATCCTGCTGCAGCTCCTCGTGGTTTGGATGCCAGAGCTTCATGACAATTCTCTCAATGTTTAGAGCATAGACAGTGTGCGCAGGAATTACTTCTTTGTGCACCTGGACATACACATTAGAAAACAAATTTCATGTTTTCATACATGTTTTCCCACATTGCCATGGAATAACCTCCCCCTGTGCATGAGCCCAGCAGGCTGTCTGTCACATGTGAGAACTGTAACTTGCCAGTACTGCCACCCCAGTCAGCACAGGGCAACCACCTGTTATGCCATCTTGTGAGTGGCAAGGTAAGAAGATAATCATTTTTGCTTAGACACCTCCCCAGCACTGGTGTCTGATCACAGGTAACCTACTGCAGCAGTCTGCACACCAGAATCAAATATTCCTTTAAGTACCCAGGTGGAACAAGAGGAATAAGAAAGGACTTTAAGATAGAATCCTAGAATAGTTAGGGTTGGAAAGGACCTTAAGATCATCAAGTTCCAACCCTCCTGCCATGGGCAGGGATACCTCGCTCTAAACCATATCACCCAAGGCCTCGTCCAACCTGGCCTTGAACACTGCCAGGGATGGAGCATTCACAAGAAGGGACATGCCAGGCTAAGTCACTTCGCTGCATCATGTATAACATGAAGAGCTTACCTGCAGTGCCTCAAAAAGGTCATACATGTTCACTGGTGGGAGAGATGCTGGTAAGGTGTCTCCAGAGCATGCCAGGAGTAGTGCTGCCTGCTGCTCAGCATCATCGGGCGGGGGCTGTGGAGCTAGACTCTGACCAGCAGAAGGCGCCGCACAAGTTGGAGGGCTGTAGAGAGAACAAGCAGTGAAACCTTCCAGTCAAGACAACAGCACTAGCTTTGGAAGTCACACAGCAGCAGTTTGGCCCCAGGGTTTGCTTTGCCCTATCAGCTGACTTAGCCCTAATATATGTAAAATCATTTCAGTTGTAATTAAGAATATCTTTAAAATTCCAGTTTAATAAAAATAGCACAAACTGATCCTCAACATCCTTCAAACCTGCTTAACTGATCTCAGTTGGGCAACTTTTTATTTACAGCCAATTGCTTCTACTCAGCACAAGGCTTAAGGCACTCACAACATAAAGCTGAAAGACACAAGCCGTTAGGCAGAGCTGGGATTGCCCTGTAGTGCTTGCAGTGCTGTAATCAAACCTTAAAACACCCACGACCTCTTGTCAACCCCTAGAAGCTGTCACAGACAAACACAACTGCCTTCTCATACACACAGGTTGCCAGATGCACAGCACAAGTTGTCTGATATTGAGACTTTGGAAAACAAGATGACCTTGGAGCTCTGCTAACTGGAAAGGCATGCCAAGGAGCCATAAATACATTTAGATGCAGGAAACAGCAGGATGCCCTCACCAGCATTTCACTCCTATGGCACTGCAGTGATGCCCCATAAAGGCATGGCTCTTCTGCCCTGAGAACAGCAGAATTCCTGTCTCACTCACTACAGTTTCCAAAAAGCAATAATTATTAAGGACATTCAGAGGGCAAGGGGTCACCTTCTTAAATTGATGGACAAGCACAAGTGAGAAAGAGGGACTTAAAACTGTTCTAAATTCCACTGCTGAGAAATTTCCAAGTTTTCCCTCTCTGTTTAGCCCTACAGTCCTCCATACTGATACCTTCCTAGTGTGAAAGCTAAACACCATTATTAATAGATTCTACTAAGTAAAAAGGGAAACTGAACCATGGAGTAACCTCACAACTAGCAACTTGCACTTGAAATTAGCAGGGTGCTGAGAGCTCCTTACCACTCAATTAAATTGTTATAAGCAACAACACTGTTCTTCAGATATGGCTGAGGGTTAATATTGCTTCCAAAGGCATATTTAAAATGACCATCTCTCAGACGATAGGCTTTCCGCCGGGATATCACAGATGTCAGAATATCCTTAAGATGGTTCTGCAACGAAAAATGATCTTATTCATTTACTGTATCAAGCCATGGCTATGAGAAGTGCCTCATCAATTTGAAAGACACAAGTAGTGCTGCTATTACCACAAGGACCTAAAGATCTGGAACCAGGATCTAGACAAGTTACAGTATGTTTTCACTGATAGAGTTGGATACAGAGAACATAGCACTATGCGAGTACTGTAGGCATTAGCCTGTGAACTGTACTTTAATACATGATGCACTGCTTTAAATGTCAAAGAAGTTTCTTAAATACTAGGAAATTCCCAACCTCTGACCCCTTTGATAAACAGCTACGAGGTTTCATCATTGGCAGTAGATGTCACATTTGTACTGAAATACTGTCCCTAAAACTACAGCGAAAAGCCACTCACTCCTCATCTTCAGACTGTTCAGTTGCCTGGAATGCATTGGAGTAGCATTGTCTGAGAAGATAACTAGACAACTGTTTCTTAATCTGGCCTCAGTTCCAGATAAGGAATTCAGGTTGGCCTCCACATCCTGACTCCAGAAAACCATCCACACATGAATACTCCAAGTAACAGCTGTATCAGTCCTGGGGTAAGTCAGGCAATGCACCACTGACAGCCAAAACCAGCAAGAGCAGGCACTTCACCTGCAGGTATTCCCCAGTCTGTCACTTCGCTACCATGCCAGATTCTTACACCTATAACGGAGGTTTTGGGACTTTTCTTTTTATAGAAGTGTTTAAACTGGAGCTCCCATTCTGTCCCTGATTTTAACTAACACAAACAGCATTTTCCAAAACAGCTATTTAAGCATGCCCAGAGTTCCTCATATGAAAGCACTTCAAAATTAACACAAAATATCCAAGACTTTACATCTATGATGCCACAAGTCTGGAAGACCTTTGAGTTTCACATTACTCTTCCCAAGGTAAACTGGCAGTTAGACAAGCAGGTTTCCTCACCACACTGAAGGCACTACTCCCTACTGCGCACAGAGCATTTTGCTGCTGGCATAATGAGACCACCACTGCTGCCCAGCCCAGCCTCTCACCTCCACAGCATAAACAACTGCCGTCACTGCCTCCTCTGTAACATTGTCTAGCCCATGCTCATAAGCTGTTACGATCATCCTTCCTTCTAACTGGCCACGTGTAGGAAGCATCATGGTATGAGAACACAGCTTCAAATCATCATCTTCTTGAGGATCCTTTGCCACAAATTGCTGGGCTCCAGAGAGCGGATTCTGAGGCTGGAACCGGTGCTGTTATGAACACAACATTAGATTGTAAGAAGAAAAATACCCAGCAGACCCTTTGGTTCATCACGCTAAATATCCCTTCTCCAGTTGGAAATCAAACGCCTGCAAAAGTGTATCACAGTAAGACAAGCAGAGTGATATTCTTCCCCACAACACTCTCCCAATCCCCGGTGATTTGTGACTGAAGAAATTTGAGCCAGAGTTGGCGTCCTTTAATTAAGCAACCTATGAACTTGTTCAGCAACGTCCTGAACCACCCAAACTTTGGGTATCCACATCCTACAGCAAGGAATTCTATGCTGTAACAACACACCACATAAAAAGAGTCACCTTCTCTGGTTTGCTCTGTATTTTCCCCACCTGCTAGATTCTTTTGATTCTCCTCTAAGGCTCAAATGCTATCCAGGGCAGTGCTAATTTTATGGACTTCCACATTTCACAGTCACCTCTTTCCATGCTGAAGGGTTCTTGTCTATTTAGCTATTAATTGTACAGAAGGGTGTGGTTTTACTTACTAACTGTACAGTTTCCATCAAGATTAAAAACCATCATCTTAAGCTTGTGTGATTGATTCTCATTTGTTTAAAGCTTTAAATGGAACAACTTAGCCAAATTCCAGGTTTGAATTTCATACTCTAGTCTCCCCATGCACTTCCAATACTCCAAGCAGAGCTGTGTTACTGAGCAGCCACTGATTCAGAGATGGATTAGGGATACTTTTCAGAACTGCCACAGTTATTTAGGAAAAAAAAAAAAAAAAAAAAGACACCACAGAACAGGAATTTGTACCACAAGACGGCAACCCCTGTTTTCCAGGCCACACATACTCCAGTATAATGCCCTTGCAGAGCTGGTGCCTCAAGCTCCAAGTGGTTGTGGTGGCTCCTGGGAAGTTTTGAGCCCCAGGTAAAGCAGGGGGAAAAAAGCATACAAGAACAATGGATACTTGAGCCCAGACATGTGCTTGACCCAGCCCACAAGGGAACAAGCTGATGGAGTACTCCCACAAGCAACCAAGCCACAAATCCAGTGGCTCTGGAATGACGATGGCTGCAAGGTTCTCAGGGCATCAAGACAAACACATTCTTTAAATATAAACAACGAATCAGCAAAGTGGATCTCTCACATCTTGGTTTCAGGAGAAGAAGGGCGGCTGCTTTATTCAAAGTACAGTGTGGCATTTAACTCAAGAGTGAAAAACCAATCCACCCACCAGTTATGTGAAAGCAGGTTTCCCTCCCCGTAATTCTGAAGACTTAAGCTTTCATTACAGGAAAGCTACATATCTGTATGCCTGGAAAAAAAAGACCTTCAAAATGTAAGCAACTCCAAAGGAGAATGGGGTTTAGAAGAGCAGAAGCCAACTGGAATGAACCTGTGGTCATTCACAGCTGTTATTCTGACCAATGAGGGAAACATCAGGAAACACCAAGGCACTTCAAGTTCACACTGCTCAGGAATTCCACTAGTAGTAGACAAGCCCATTAATCACGACATAAAGTACTTATTACCAAGCATTACAGGAATACATGTATAAACACACACTAGATGTGTTGTAACACAGGGGGATCCGAGTAACCAAATTCCCAGGCTTCCACTACATCACAACTTGTTTCTCAACCTCCCCTCCACTTGCTACTGAGAAGTCATGGTGAAGTTTTGGAACAAAAAGATGACAGACTGCCCTCAGAATTCAGGTCACAGCTGTGAACACTGCAGAATACTTCAACAGCTTCCAAACGCAACAAGCCTCCAGTTGGACACATCCCTCAAACACCAGTCACTGAAGCAAGCACACACATGGTGCCTAACTATAGTTCCCAGAGGTGCAGTATGCACTTCAGCTGAGCCAACCTAACCCCTCAATGCCTAAGACCAGGAATTTTCACATGCCCATCCTCCCCTATCCCCAGCTCCTTCTTCCTTTTCATGGCCTTTTATCCAACCACAAAGAACACTGATCCAGCTGAATAAACCAACAAGAAAAACTTGGGGTTTTTGGTCTTTTTTTTGTATGGTTTGTTTTCTGTCTTGTCAGAAAACTGAACTGGATCATGATCACAGAATCACAGAACCAACCATAGAACAGTTTGGGTTGGAAGGACTTTAAAGATCACCTCGTTCCAACCCCCCTGCCACAGGCAGGGACACCTTCCACTAGACCAGGCTGCCCAAAGCACCGTCCACCAAGGCCTTGCTTCCAGGGATGGGACATCCACAGGTTCTCTGGGCAACCTGTTCCATGCCACACCACTCTCATAGTGAAGAATTTTTCCTAACATCTAACCTCCCCTCTGACAGTTTAAAGCCAATTCCCCTTGTCCTATCACTACATGCCCTTGCAAAAAGTCCCTCTCCAGAGGTCTTTCAGGCCCCCATCACGTGTTCAGACTTGTCTCATCAAACCCTGCCTGTTGAAGACAGTGCCCCATCCCAATCCTCTTTCATACCAGGTCCCCTCCACACTGGTCTGGCAGTGCCAAAGCAACTGCAGAACACAGACAGTAACAGATGGAGGTACAGAGCCTTTGCTGCCAAGTGAACTGGATCTTGCATGTTTACCTGCCACCTACCGGAAGACAGCATCTTTGCAAAACATGTTCTGAAACAACTTGACCCTCTTAAACAACGAACATCTCACTTCTATCACTTCTGATTGCAGAGTCCTGTAGAGCAGATCATACAATCACTGAGTTCTGCCCGCCTCCTGAATAAATAGGAAATCCCTTTTCTTTCAAGTATCTCACAGATGTATGAAGTGAACAAGTTATTACAGAGAACGTGAGAGGTGAATGAGACTATGAAAGACCTGCCCAAGCATAACTGCAGTGACCATACAGCTCAAGTTGTTCCTTGATGGTTCCTGGAATACAAGCTTTTGCAACTTCGACATTCAGGTGGCCTTCCATGGATTCTCTGGTGTCTAACAAAGCCAGGTCACACTGTAGCCTTTATCCCAAAGAAGCTTCCATAAGAGACAGCAGCCACTATCCCCCCAGCTCTTATTCCAGTCCAGAACTCAAAACAAGTAAGACACACATCACTGCACATGTTAGACTTCCATCATCCCTGGAAGCAAGAAAAGCTGCATGCATGTGCAGAGTTCTTCACCCATGAAAGAATGTCAGAGAGCCATGACCATTTGATCACTTACATCAAACTTTTGTCGAACAGAAGATATCTTTTTCTTTCCTTTGGGTTTTCCAGGTTTAGTTGCAGAGCCACCCGGCCACGGCAGAGTTCCAGCACCTTCTACAAATTGAAAAGGCAAAAAAAAAAACAACAAACCAAAAAAAAAAAAAAAAAAAAAAAAAAATAAGCAACCAAAAAAACAACCAAAAAACACAAGCATCAAAACCGCTTAACCTAAAATCAACAGCCATGGCCCGAAGGAAGGACTTCTCAGAGGAGAATGCTTTTGGCAGCCCTTTCCTTTGTTCATCAGCCCCCTGCAAGCTTGACTTACTCATGTCCCATTACTTTAGTACAAGCTTGTCAGCACACCACACAAAAATCTATAGTGGAAGGATGGAGAAGAGCACAACCACTAGGAAAGCCACAAGGAAGGAACAAGCCATTTATTCCATCAGGAAGATGACAGGACCCTGCCCACGGGGAGTATTCCCCTCCCACCAGCTCCTGGATCAGATGACAAGCAAAAGGATCAAGCAGTCTGACTTGTTACCTATGCCTGTACAGTTAGCTCCCCATCAGCTTTAGCCAGCTTTGTCTCACACCCTGGTTAAACATCACGGCTGATCATTCCTGCTGCGCTGAGGGGAGACAGGGAAAGAACTGCAAAGGCCACTGAGCTCAGGAGCAGGATGACACCAAAGCAAGCAGTGAGCTTGTGACTGACCAGAACTGGCAGGCAGCTGAGAAAGTGATCACTATGTAATACCAATCGATACATTTGGCCACATCAGAAGTCCACAGTATGCTGTCTGACAGCTATGCCTATAGTAGGTCAAACTACATTCTGACAATCACAGAGCTCTTGGCAAGGACAGACTTACCACTGATGAGTTTACAGGATCCATGCACAATTCCTTCAGGTACACTGGCACTAAGACAGTGCTGGTTTGGATGCATATGCGCTTGCTGACAGTGAACAAAAAGTAAAACTCAAAGACTGGACAGCCCTCTCGTGGCTACAGTGGCAGCCTCTGCTCTGCACCACCAGTATCCTCCTCCCTCAGTTTTGCATAGCAAGTGAGCACACTTTTTGAGTCCTTGCCCACCTCCAGGGATGCTAGACAACTGACCTCTGAAGGTATTTAACTCAGCTCCAAAGTGGAGGCTGGAGCTCTACTGCCAGGCAGTGCTGACAGCACTGACATTTCAGATGTTCTCTTGCCTGAGAGCAGCATTTGCCATTACAAGAAAAGACAACAGCCAACCCACAACTCACCATCCACAGCTTGGCCAGCCTCAAGCACACTCACTGAGTACCAACAACCAGCCATTCTGGTTCCTTTCTGTTACTACAGGTGGCCACAGTTCAACACCAGCTTCACATCAACCTGTGTGTTTACGTCCAGCTCTCAAAACTATTTTTAATTTACTGTAATCAGGAATTCATAAATACAGTTATACTACAGCCCTGCTGTCCTGGGTTCAGCAGTAGCAGTCATTTTTCTCTTTCTTGGTAGCTGGTGCAGTGCTGTGTTTTGACTTTCAGGCTGGGAACAGAGCTGATAGCAATGATGTTTTGGTTTGGCCAAGGACTTTGTGAGCCTCATCCTCTGCCAGGGAGAAGAGGAAGCCGGGAGGAAGCAGAGACAGGACACCTGACCCAAACTGACCAAAGAAGTATTCCATACCACAGCATGTCATTGCCCAGGATGTAATGGAGAGTTACCCAGAAGGACAGGGGGTCTTCTGGGTCAGACTTGTTCTTCAGTGGGTGGTATTGTACTCTTTTCCCTTGTTATTATCTCTTATCATTGTTGTCATTGGTGGTAGAGGTGGTGATTTGTGTTGTACATTGGTTGCTGGACTGTTCTTATCTCAACCCGTGGGAGTTGCATTCTTTCAATTCTCCTCCCCATCCCTCCAGGAGCGGGGAATGGGGGAGCCCCAAGGGGGGTGTTGGGGACACGGGCCTCGACTGCTTCCAGCCCGGCACCACTCACTGGGAGTGAGTGCACAAGCTGTCTGGCTGGGTTTAAACCACAACAGCTGCTTATAGGGAATGAGGCTGGCTAAAGGTCCTTAGCTATGTGGAGCTTCCCACTCTCCTGGCTCAAGCATGAGCAGTGTCCTCTGTCATGAAAGAAAAACAACTCCTAAAACATGACTTTAGGGGTCAGGTTAAACCAGAAGAAACCAGGTGAAGTTTTTGAGCCACCAGCTGATAAGAAGGGGTTAGAAACAAACTACACACACAGAGATGATATACTGCTCCTATAAAAAAAAGTTTACTAAAAAGTTAAGCTATATCCTGATGGTGAGGTGAAAACCAATAGTCTACAACGAGCCCTGTTGCCCAAATCCACCAGTCAGTTATAGGAAATTAAAAGATAATAAATCCCCTACAAAAATTATAAAGCTGGTGTCACTACTCATCATTACAACACCACAGGAGAGGCCCTCATGAGTGGGTGTCGGAAAGCACCATGAGGGCAACCATCTCAAGGACCGCTACTGCCCTTCATCAAGATCTCAGGGCTTACATCTTAGGATCTATCAAAATAACACTACTTCTCTCACAAGATGATTTGCTCTTTACAGATGAGTCCTTTCTTGCCCCCCCTCCTCTCCTCCACAGCAGGTCAGACCCCTTCTAGGCAGGGGGGATTAGGTCTGTTATGGATACAGAAATTACCTGGTCCATTTCAAAGCTTTTAATAAAAGCACATATTTAGCTTGAATACCACCCCACCCCAGGCTCTTCTTCCTTATGAATCATCACATATAGCTCCTCATCCTCACTTTTGACAGCTTCCTTAACAACTAACTACATGACAGGTGGTGGAGACAGAGAAACTGGAACAGATGGAGACAGAAACAAACCATCTTTTTGTCTAATAATGTATTAATGATTAACAAGTTACAGCAGGGTCAGAATTTTTTAAATGTCTTATTTAAAAATACATTATAGTGACTTTTAAACTAAATGGCAACTGATTTTCAGGGCTTTGACAGTGGATCTGAAAGATGCAACTTAACCGAATCTCAGCCTGTGCATTAAAAAAACCAAATTTAGCCAGACTTAGCTTAGAATAAGGAAAAAGAGAGACACTGTCTCCTATTGTCCATTATAATGAGGCCAAAGCACAATTGTTTTGGCTCCTTTTCCAGGCTTTCTACTACCAAGCCTGTCTTGCACTAGACAAAGAAAACAGAATTTCCCTCTAGTATTCTAAGAAAACCAGTACTTGCATTCCTGGCCACAAGTGACAAGGCTGGGCTGTCCCAGGCATGAAACTTCAGAGACGTTAGCAGCTTTTTTTTAAATCTTGCTAGCAAGAGAAGGAGATATTAGCAAGCCACAGCAATGGCTGCTGATAGGCCTTCAAAGATGAGCAACAGATAAGAATGTTTTTCTAAGAGCTGCCACATATCTGCAGTGATGGCACCAGCCAGTCCAGACAAGAGCGCGTCAGGTTTTCCTGACGTGCTGCACCAGCACCACACAGGAGGAAAGGTCAAAGATACAAACAGAGAAAGTCACGACAGAGAAAAGCAGCCAGGCACAGGAAACATGCATTTTTCCACCCTCGTTTATTCAGTCTTCAGTTGTTTTAGATTTTGTTTTCCTGCAGAGACAAGGTTTTAGTCAAACATATTCTGATGACTCTCCTCTGTCAAGAATTCACACTTCCATTTTCTTCCTTTCTTCCCTTCCCAGGTCTGGAGAGAAAAGAACTCCTGCAACCTGAGCTCATCTCACAGGTGGCAGCCCTTCAAGCAAAGCCTGTGGGTAATGCTGACAAAATAAAATGCTCCTGCTATACTGGCATGAGTTCCAATTTGCTGAACCATCTCTTAGAAGGCTCCAGATTACTAGCAAATAAATTAAACCCTTACAACACCGAATCAAGTGCATGCAATTGTCTCAGGTTTATTAACTTTTAGCTAAGGAGGGAGGTAACAGTTCAAGTGAGGTAAATATTAACCCAAGAAACTTTGCTGACTTGATTGCAACAAATAAGCTCAGTGAGCAAGTCCATGCAAGTTTAAAAAAAAGCTTTACATTTGAGTTCTTTTTGATGGAAAAATGATATAAAAATTCAGAAAAGCACTTACAAAAATACTGGTAGAAAGAGAATACCAAAGAAAACAATTTTCTTATAATGGGAAGTGTGCCACACCACTCAGACTGGTACAGCCAACCTAAAATTACCAGTAAGGCACACTATAGTATTTTGGATAGCATATTTCTGGGAAGTTTCCTCTCTTCTACCACTTTCACAGCTTCCCAGCTATGTTACAGCTGGGTGCCACTCAAGTATTTATGGGTGTCTTCAAAAATACGGCTAGCAGAGGGAAAAACATCCATTTTTAAAAAGGGCAGAGAAGCCAGATTCAGGGCTCCCCAGAACCCTACTGTGCCCTCAGTGGGGGCTCAGCAGGAATTAAAGAAACTGGTCATTCTTCACATTGAAATAGGTATGAACTTCCTTCCCTCTCCACCACCAACTCCTGAACATCCCAGGCCACACAGGCTGTTGAACTGGGATTTGAACTTTGTGTGACCAACAGCCTAAGCAGATGAGACAGGGAAATAGGAAGTGTCTTCACAAAGGGTCACATTCCCCCAGCGTCCCTTACAAGTCCAAGTGGAACCACTACTGCCAGAGATAGCAAAATCTGGATCAGATCAGTTTGCCTGGTCTAACATATATGATAATCACTTCTTAAAAACACCTTCCCCAAAGCTGCCTATTCCAAATGCTACAGTAACAAGTACACTTTTAACACTGACCACACATTAATACAAAATAGCATTTTAAGATGGTTCTTTTTCCATTGTGTCTCTCACATGAAGGTGGAAAGTACATGCGCCAGTAACCCTCATGACATGCCAAGTGCATCAAGCACACTTCTTTAAAGTTACTTGTTTCCATGAATCATGATGTTTACATCTCCACCTTCTGCCCAAGGCAGTGGTGGAGACAAAAGCCTGTTAGCTTTCCATTCTCACATTGGGAAAAATGAAAAAGAAAAAAAGGAAGAAAAAAATTGATACTTGCAGGTATCAAACTGGTATCTAGAAGGAAAAAAACAAGTCTAGACACAGCATCTAGCATTCTACTTGTACTGAACTTTTCTGGGTTTGCAAGTGCGATCAGCTGCACCACACACAGCAGACTGGCAAGTAAAATGTGTGTCTACCGGTCAGTTGCCCAGAAAGAGGTATCTCAGCACAGATTACTCAAAAATCACTGGGAGACTGAAACGACCTGAAGAGAGCAAAAGAGACTCTAGAAGGGCCTAGCAGCACATACAATTAACTGCAAAGCACTAAACCATGTCCTCAGGAACACACACATGGTTAAACTGCAGTGGTTGTTTCTTTTCAAGCTGGCTTATGCAGACGTGTGGCTAGAGCCAACAAAAGCCTGACTGAAAGCACTGGAGGTGACCACCAGCTGGTCACCTATCACTCTATTACATGCTGTCACCAAGCTGCTGAAGCACTACCATGAAGGGTTCTTCAAGGGCTTTTAAAGACAGTAAGCTTCAATGGGACAAGAGAGAAAGTCCTTGCAAGGACTTGAAATGAAAAAAGTTCAGGCAGGACATAATAACCATATGGAAGATACCTGTGGAGCACCACACTGCTTAGGGATGGGGCTTGCACTTTTAACACACTCCTAGATAGCCTAGAAAAGGGGAGCACCTGTAGGGGCTGGCAGTTTGTTGGCAAATCTGAGCTACTCAAGCCCAGGAAGATGAAGCCTGACTGGATGGCTGCAAAAAAGCTGCAGAAGACTGTGTGACTGGATAAAGAGACAAATGAAATTCAATAGTTAAGAACAGAGTAATGCACACAGAAACTAAGAACCCCACCTTTAGTCACACAACGATGGGCTCTAAGCTGACTACTGTCACTCAGAAGCAAGACCTATGAGCTTTGATTGCTACTCTAACACAACAGGTCAGTGCTGAGCTCAGGGAATGCAGACACGCTCTCCCTCTGCCTCATAATTTACACTCAGATACTTCAGGTAACACCCACAGGGGAATTGCTGTGCTTGTACTTTCCTTTTATAATCCAGATGCAAGCCAAAAGCAACTACTAAGTCAAAAGCAAAGAGCAGCAAGATTAATATAAAGAGGAAAAGCCTGAGACTCAAAGGGCATTCATAAAGCTCAAGAGCAAACAAAGCAAGTTTAGAGGTGGGAGAGGTTAGCATTTAATTAGCACAGCTGGTATAGTTAAAGACCAGCTATAACACAAAAAGCTGTGGGCATCCAAAAATGCATTTATTTTTTTCATTCCTTTAGATACATCAGGTACAGTAGTAACAGAGATCCTTTCTCCTCAAAATCTTGCCTCTCTCAGCCCAGAGCTGTAACAATTTTTTCTCCCTTACTACACAGCAGTCTCACATTTTGGATTGCAGTTCAGCTGTCCTTCCTACCAAATCTCCAATTGAGAGCTCCTCTGAAGACCAAAAAAAAAGACGTATCTCACAACCCTGACGACAGTCATTGAAAATGCTCACAGAGCTAAAAGGTGAACTATCCGAAGAAGGCTGGGTTAAGCAACCACAGCTCAACCAAGACACACTGTAGGCATTCCCAGTAGAAGCCTTTACACTTCAGCCAACAGCACACACCCAGTCCAGGAATCAAACCAGTTTATCACACACAGCAATCCAGCAACAGCCTCTAACCAAGCACAGGCAGCTTGCTCAGAAAAGCATCTCTGCTGAAGTCAGCTGGATGACCGTTTTGCTACCCTTTAGCCTGTGTGGCAAAAAGAACACTGATATTAAGGCTCAGAAAACTGGCATACTTTGTACAAAGTACACATGACAAAGCACTGATACCTGGTTGTTTTAATAAGGCTTCTCAGGACTTACCTGGTGCAGAAACCAAGATCTGGCATCGGGTAAGAATGGCCAGGAGGAAATCGTTGTGAGAGTGGACTGTGTAAAGACAGACAGTTCATTAACAACACATCAGTGCCCAGGGGCACTCCCTCAAATCCATCTTACAGTAGCTCACAATGCCCTTCCAGTCATACATTGCCCACATGCTTAGCTACACAGGCACAACTCTCGATTTAAGTTTTCTTGAGAGCTTTCTTCTTCTAGACCCAGAAACTGCTACTACTATACTAACAAAAAGAATACTACACATGGTATGAAAATAAATTTTGTCACTTCTCAGTGTGCTACACATGCAAATCCAGCCCTAAAGCATGCAACATGAAACATCTGGTGCATTCAGCCAGTCAGAGAAGAATCCAGTGTCCCTCCTGCCATGCAGACTTATGTTAGCAGAGCTTTTGGTTTGCTAGGAAAGGACCAGTAAGAGCCACTCCCAGAGAGGGAAAATTAAGTCAAACAGGTTATAGATAAATGTAACTTCCTTGCAGAAAGGTTACTGGAACACAAGATAAGTAAATACGCATCAGAAAGAGCAAAGATGAATGTCATAAGCAGGGTCAGAGAGTGAAAGGATCCTCTTTAGCTTTTGAACACGAGCACTAACAGACTCCCTGCTCTTTCCCATAGAGATCACAAACATGGAGGTCAGGAGCCCCAACAATAATCTCAGCAATGCCCACCACCGTTCACAGACCTACAGAGAGGCAACAATAAGAGACTGTCACCCTCCAGCCGTCCCACCTGCCACACCGAAGAACAGGAAAGGCACCTGCCTGCTGCAGAACTGCCTAGGTGAGTTTGGAGTTCCCTTCCCCACTTCAATCACACCAGTCCAGTCCCAGCCACAGGAAGACCACAGCATGGAAAAGACTGGGTTTCTACAGTGACATAACAAGATGGCATTTTGCTTGCTGGGACACCATATTTTACCGCATTTCACAAGACCAAATCGCCTGTCTGTGCCAAGGCCACAAAGGGACTTTTCCCCAGCAGTTCAGGGCACCTCCCACCTAGGGCTACAGGCGCCCCAGCTATTCTTATTTCCCTTACAGCAATTTCCCTGTCCGGGAAGCAGTGCGCAGCAGAGAGGAGCTCCTCCCAGGCCCGGCAAACCAGCATCAGAGCCACAGAAACACAAACACGAGTTGGCTTTTTACCATTGTCTTGCGTGAGAAGCCTGCGTGCTTCCAGGTCAAACTCCTCCTTACTGATCTTCTGTTTGAACCAGAGCTTCAAATTGGCCCAGTACCTAGGGGAGAGGGAGAAAGGTAGAGACATCAAACAAAAAGCGCTGCTCCTAAACACCCTCCTTCCCAACACCAGCACGGAGGGGTCCGGAGCCCAGGCCAGCGCTGAGGCTTCCGCACAGGCCCCACTGCCGCTCGGCCTCACCCTCCAGCCGGCTTCCCTCCTCCACCGCACTCACTGCTTCACATTCTCGCCCAGCGCCTCGCTGAGGCTCTTCTTGGCCGCCTCCAGCTCGCTCACGTACGTCGCCATTACCGCCGCTACCTGAGAAAGACAACAAAATCTCCCTTCTCTCCCAAGCCACAAAGCGCGACGGCAGCCGTAAAGCACAGCAGCCACCCGTCATGTGACAGCGCAGGGCTCTCACCACCAGAGGGGGCGGTGTCTGGGCGCATGCGCAGAGGTGGCAGCGTAGGGAGGCGCAGTTGCAGGTTTAGCCATGCCGGGCTTGCTGCTGGGCGACGAGGCGCCCAACTTCGAGGCGGACACCACGCAGGGACGAATCCGTTTTCACGATTTCCTGGGAGACTCGTGAGCATCGTGGGAAGGAGGATCGGGAACGGGGGACCTCGGCGGGAGGGCGTCAGGGTAGGGGGATGACCCCGAGGCCGGCCCGCGGGAAAGGGGCCGCTCACCGCGCAGCAGACAGGCGCAGGGTCTCGGGGGCCAATTGCCTTCCGCTTCGGGCGCCGAGAGCTTGGGTTTTATTTCCAGATGGGCAGGGCCGTTCATTGTCCGTCCCTGGGTGGAAGCCTGGCGGGCTTTCCCCAAAAACGTTCGTTTTCTCGTCGTGGAGCCGCCGCGGTGTGTGTGACATGGGCCGGGGGCCGCGATGTGCCAGGGGAGCGCGGTAGCGAGGGGCGCGCAGGCCCCGGCGAGCTCGGGGGAGCCGCCTCTCCCCATCCTTCCTGCGGGCTGCGCAGCCAGGGGGCCGGCAGAGCTCACCACGGGCGAGGCGGGCCCAAGGAGAGCAAAAACGGGCTCTGAAAACTGCAGAGCCCGGGCAAGGGCAAAGCCAGGTTTGCCAGGGCACAGCCCAGTCCAGGGCAGCCCCAGAGATCAGCTCGCGTGTCACGTACGTCCCTGGAGAGTGAGCCTGGGCTTGCGAAGGTGTGTAATCGAGCAGTAGCAAAGGGTGGTCCTGTTGGAGCCACTTGTTGAAAGTGGAAAGCTACTTGTCTTTAGGCATTATTTCTGCAAAAACCCTGTTGCTCCATTTCTGGCTGGAGCAGGAGAATGCTGGCACAGCACATTTAGGACTCGCTTTCTGCAGTGCTTGGCAGGGTTGAATGGTTGGTTGAGTCCACTTCTGTCAGTGTTGTGAGCTTGGGCAAATGGGGAGAAAAGAACCCTCTTAGTGAGAAAATGAGATGCAGGGCTTCTTAAAAGTGTATGTTCCAGCCTGAGCACCCACATGATAGCTTTCTTGGGCAGCTTCTATCTGGGTTTTTGCTGCCTTTTTTTCAAGTAGTGCATATATTGTATAAAGAGACTTACAGCACCACTGGCCAGGTCACTGCCCTGTAAGTTCTGTTAGTGAGCCATCTGCAGGGTGCCTCACTGTATCCTTCCAACTCTGTTCCCATTTCTCTAAGACAGAACAGAGGTGAGGTGTTCCCACAGTAGTCTCTGTACAGTACAATATATACAGCTTTTTGTCTGTCGTACAAACCGAAACAACATCTCGCCCTAATGCCATCTCCTGCTCTCGTCTTTCAGATGGGGCATCCTCTTCTCCCACCCGCGGGACTTCACACCCGTCTGCACCACAGAGCTTGGCCGGGCAGCAAAGCTGGCCTCTGAGTTCAGCAAACGCAATGTGAAGATGATTGCCCTTTCCATTGACAGTGTCCAAGATCACATGTGCTGGAGCAAGGTATGGGGCATGAGGAGGCACAAGGGGAGCTTGCACTGCTGCCTTTGCTCTGAAGGCCGGAGGAAAAGTTCACACAGAACAAAGCAGAGGCTCGGGATTACATATCTCAAATCCCAAAGCACGTAGGATAGGAGTGGCTAAAATTCAGAGCAGGAACAGGAAGGTCTACTCCATTTTCTTGGAGCACTCCACAAAGTCCAGGGCACTCTAGATACTAACACTTTGAAATAAGAGGAAAATAATATTACTGCTCTCCCACCAATACCTGAAAGAGTAACACATAAGTGAAGGTGGTGCCAAAACTTGAAGGAAAGCAGTCTCTCCATAGACCTTCAGAAAGTTCTGTAATAAAACAGGAAAGGAGGCATCAGAAGCGAACAGGCAGTCTTCAAAGGGTACAATTCATGCCCAGACATGGAAAGGAAAACAGAGAACAAAGAGGGACATGTTAAACTTAAAACCACAAGCAGAAGATTGTTAAATCTAAAACCACCATAAAAGGAGTATATAAAAAGATAGGAATGAAATAGCTTGCTGAAAGAACTTAAACTAATTAAAAACTTCAGTTGCAGCCTCAGCAGTGGTGCGCTGCCAGGGATTAAGATTCCAGGCCTCACAGGTTGCAAGGGTGTAAAATGAGCATTTCAGACGGATACGGCCAGAGGATAGAAATCCCTGGGTGAATTACCTGCTTTTTGATTTGCTCTTAACACTGAGAATATTTTCACATTTTCCAGGAGTAAGACATGCATGCAATAAGAGGTAGTAAAAGTGAGAAATATCCACACTTCAACATTGTTTCATTACTGACTGGCTTTAGAAATTACTAAATTGGCTTTTTGCTTAAATTGACCTTCTTTCCTGAGAGGTGCATGGCTGATATCCCTCCAGGCTCCAGAATGATCTAGGAAAACTGGCGTACAAATCCCACTCCAGTGAGATTTCCATGCCGGTCAAACTGGCTGAAACCACCAAAGTAGCAGATAACGTCCCATTAAATATGGCAGAAAGTTTGTGCTCTTGTAAGGGAGTCTCATCTCATGCCTGGCTAAAGCCATGTCAAGTTATTGCTTTTACAAAGTCTTAAAATTTCCAAGAAGCTGTCAATGAAAGCAGGTTTGTGAAGGGCAGGCTCTTTTCTGCAGGGAGACAGGACGAGGTGGTAAGTTGTGGCAAAGGAGGGTCTGCAGGGATGCTTGGGGTTCAGCACACTCAGGTGATCTGGAAGAGGTATGAACATACGAACAACGAGCTGACTTTGCTAACATTATGGAATTATTCAGCACAACCTCAAGGTAAAATCAGAAGTTGCAGAACAGTCACTTGACACTAACTAATGGGAGGCAGAGTTTAGAAATGTTCAGAAAATCTTCCAGAACAAGCATGGAGAAAGGCAAAGGGCGGTATTCCAAGCTGCAGGGAGCTTTCTGTCAGGCTGGGAGAGGCCTCGCAGGCAGTGGTTTGGAAATGTCTGCTCAGCACCTGTGAAAAAGAAAAGTGTGGATGTCCACCAGAGCAAAGATCCAGCTGGTGAAGACTAATCCGTAGCAGAGTGGAGCCTTCCATGTTTGAAATTATCCATCTTGCAGGCTACAGAAGAACAAGAAAAGGTGGAGAGGGGGAACAAAGCTGCCTGCAGATTTGGGCAGGTCTCCTTCAGTGCAGAGCAACTGGGGCTCTTCAGCCTGGGAACAGGAGGACATGTTAGGCTGCAACACTGTGAGCAGTATGGGGAGCATGGAGGAGCAATGAACCTCCATGCATGCATCATAGAGGGTATAAGGGAAGGCAGGAATGTGATTGCTCTGCCCTTAGACCTTGCCTATACACATGATCCTTTTTCTTTCATCCTTGACAAAGCTTAAAAGAACTTCAGATAACATGGAGAGCTAAACAGGGAAAGCAAGTGTTTGGGCCTACCACAGGGCTGAGACTGGGGGCAGTGCTCTAAGGGTTCTCCTGCCCAGCCACAGGTTAAAAAGGAGGTTAACAGACATACAGAGCCTTGGCAGAAGCTGACTGTCTGGACAAAAGCAGACTTCATTAAATGCTAGACTGAAATCTAGAAACTGCAGGTTTTTTTTCACTAGATCTTAGAAATCCTAGGGGTGAGCAAAACTTCGGGCAGGCCTCTCTGTGCAGCATTTCTTTACATACCTATGCTTTCTTTTTGAATGAAGCTTCTAGCAGTAGTGAGAGGATGAAGCTGCTTTTATTTGGAGCACAGCCTGTGAGGAAGAAAATGGGCAGGAGAAATGGCTGAAATTCTGCATGAAACAACAAAGAAACTTCTGCTTGCTCTGCTGCCAAATTTCAGTGGGCAGATGGGGCCTGAAAGGTGAGACCAGAGTATACCAAATAATTCTCATGTCACTGCTCAGCTCTGCTTTCCCAGTCAAAGATGTCACTGCTGTTCTTGGGCATCTCTAGCCAAGACCCAGAGGTTTGCTCCAGGACTCAGAGCAAGCCTGTAGCTCAGCCAGGGTTTGATCCCACTCTCCTACCTGCCCAGTCTGTGCAGTGCTTCTCCAAGGGCTGGCTGAATGCATGAGCTCCATGAGCAGCATTGACTGCCATGTGCTGTGCATGTTGGAGGAAGCTTCGGTGTTCTCTGTGGCTACTGATGCCTTCACCTTTGTGAGTCAAGAGTGAATAAATCACTGCAGTAATGTCTGGTTTCAGCTTGGATGCTGGAAAGAAAATAATTTGCAGGGGAGTAAGCAAGTCTTGAGTGCCCTATTGCAAAATAGGGTGGGGTTTGATAGGCTGTTTTGTACAGAGATCCCCAGGCCATGAAATTATGTGCATTTTGGAACGAGTTACAGTACACAGGATTCAGATATTGCTTCTCAGAAACTCTCTTCATTCTCCAGCCCCCATTCTGAAGAGAGGAGGGGGGATAGTCACTGTCTGACCTTTATCTACAGCCTCCTGCAACACTGTGGGGCATTTCGCATGGGCTGGCCTCTCCAGCTTTGCTTTCCTTCCGTACTCTGCTTTTGATAAGGCTTGCCGGGGACAGCATTCCAGCCCCTTCTGCCTGCTCTTGCTGCCTCTGCCATGTCAAGCAGCAGTGGGCAGTGCCAAGAGGCATTAATTCCAACCCTGCCGTCCTTGAGTTCCCTCTAAGCAGGACTCAGCCTTTTCCCCTGTGTTCAAAGCCCAGGGAAAGCAGGGAGACTTGTACATTCAGATTACCAGCTCAGCTGATAATGCACCACAGTGGTGTGTGGGAAGCTTATGTCAATACTGGAGGCAGTTTTGTCTCCTTGTAGCATAAAGAGAACAGAGAGAATGGGCAGCTCTGTTCTGGGGCAGAAACTGCAGATTAAACTTGCTTTAATGTTGGCAGCTGATCTGCTTGTGCTGCCTTGAACAGGCTCCTCCCAGCCTTGCTGTGGCTCAGGATGACCTGTATGGGTGGTACTGCAAACTACAAGAATAACTTGACTGCTTTGGCCAAGTCCAGACCAGATTCAGAGATGCTCAAAATCCAGTTTCGCTGTGAACTAGGTCGAGTTTGGACTAGCACAAGGAACAACCTCATAAACTATGGTCACAAGGGAGAGCCTGCAAAGATGTGGAAGGGGATTGTTTTCTGTCCCAGCCATGGTTCACCTGCACTCAGACTTTCACTCTTATTTTCAGAAGTGTTTAAGCAAGCTAGGAGTGACTTGCTCTGTGAGACTAGCTCCTCATACAAGACCTGTGAAGTGTTCAACATGGTACCTTTGTTAGCTTTAGAGTTGCTGGTTTGGTCTGTCACTAGAGAAGCTGTACCTTAAGAGCACAGTCCAGTTCAGGTGTGACACCAACACATCTGTCAGTAGTGCTAGACTACTTACTCAGAGAGGGTCAGAAGAGGAACACCTCTGTTCTAAGGGCAGGGTGGTTACATCTCCCTGTATCAGTAGCATGGGCAGGAGTTCCTTATTTCTCCATACCCTCTTCCTGGGCAAAATAGCGGGTCCACAGGCAGTTCCAGAGGTGAGCCACAGGGTGTGAGCATAGACAGCCTAACAACTAACCTCTGAGAATGAGGCAAAGTGCAGCCTGGCATGCAGGTTTATGGTTCATCACCTGGTTTCTGGAAGCAGAGAAACTTCATGGAAGGCTGTGCTGTCTCAGCCTGCAAGTAAGGGGCCAGGTAAGTCACAAGCTTTGGGCCAAATAAGTCCCAGGCTCCTGTAGAGCAGCTGCTGAACACATTTCTGCATGGCCCCTTGCAGGACCTTGCCCCACACACGTAAAGCTTGCGTGGGGATCTCCTTGTCTGGCCTCTGCCTCCTGTGATCGTACCCACAACAATGAGCATAAGCATGCCATGTTTTGTCTCTGCAGGACATCAATGCATACAATGGGGGACAACCCGAGGAGAAGCTCCCCTTCCCCATCATTGCTGATGCAAACCGGGAGCTCGCTGTTAAGCTGGGAATGCTGGACCCAGATGAGCGGGACAAGGATGGCATGCCCCTGACTGCTCGCGTGGTGAGTACCTGGAGCACTGCTGTACAGCAGCCTTCTTAGCAGGAGGCTTCACCTGTTGTCCTGCCCTGTGTCTGCGGGGCTGGGTTTGAAGATGGGTACAGCTTACCCGGATGGGCAGGAGCATCCTCAAGAGCTAGGTTGACTTCCTTGGGCTAGATCCATGGGTTGTGCTGTAAGAAGAGGCTGGTGTAGCGCTGGCCTGCTGGCAGCAGCTCCATCCACCAGCTCATCATGGCTGTGGCTGTCATAGGACAGGTGACAAAAGAGCTTGATCTGCTGGACTCCAGTGCTTGCATTAGAAAGGCACAGGTCAAGGGGAAGAAACATTTCAAGTACCAAACCAATCTGGCATTAGATACAGGAGCACTCAGAGCATGCACTGTGCTCCCTGGGCATCACTTGTTGCTCTAGATCCCCACCATGGCATCTCCCCTGTCCCAACACCTTTGATCAAGTATACCACCTTCCAGGAAAGGGAGGAGCAGCAGGGCTGAGCAGATGCAGCAGACCAGTTGGATTTTACCCAGGCCCTGATCCTGTCTCTCTGTACTCAGGTGTTTGTTTTTGGCCCGGATAAGAAGCTGAAACTCTCCATACTGTACCCAGCCACCACTGGGAGAAACTTTGATGAGATCCTGAGAGTGGTGGACTCCCTGCAGCTGACGACATACAAGAAAGTCGCTACCCCTGTGGACTGGAAGGTGAGGAGGGGTGCAAAGCTCACAGCTGTCCACTGAAAACGTGCATTGAAATGTCAACCAGCCTCCTTTGAAGCGGGACTCACAGAGTGGGGAAAGCTGATGAGGTCATGCAATATGGGTTGCTGCAGTCTGGAATCAGCCTTAAGAACCTCCCTTCCCAGCCCTCAGTGGCCAGTGCCAGCAAATACTCAGCTTGGCCTTTCTGGCTATCAGTACTTGAGCTTTGTGCCAAGGCAGGTCCTGTCCTGTGATAAGGAAGGGCGCCACCAGGTGTCAGTGTGCCCAGGTGTGCTCAAAGCCAGCACAGCAGCAGGTGTGGGGCACCCTTCCCAGGCCCACACACTGCTCTTCTTCCTTTGAGACAGGAAAGGCCAGTGTGGGCACAGAAATTTACGTAGCATGTACACAGTAGAGACATCCTCATGGAAGGTTACTAGTTGCTTAGTTGTGGTCCCTCCTGCATCTTAAGAGATACACAGATTCCCCTCTTGTTCCTCCATATTCCCGTGGGAGTGCTGTGGGAAAGAGCTGGCCTGTGGGATCCCATTGGCAGGGCTGGCAGAAGGCACAGTTCTCCCTTTTGACATCACGCATACCTCCTGACGTAGTTCCCACTCAGTCCTCACTGCCAGCTCCAGGCAGAGCTGCAGGGGATATGCCTGGGGCATTGGGGCTGAGCGTTCCTGGAGAGGCAGGGACATGCCAGCTCCTCTGCTGCTCTCACAGTTCCCATTTGCTCCCCAGCCTGGTGACAGTGTCATGGTCGTGCCCACCTTACCTGATGAGGAAGCCAAGAAGCTCTTTCCCAAAGGAGTCTTCACGAAGGACCTCCCATCGGGCAAGAAGTACCTGCGTTACACCCCACAGCCAGAGTGAGCAGGTCTGACCAACCACCCTGCACATCATTTGGCATCAGGAGCCTTTCTTGTGTCCAGCTCCTGCCTCCCTAACACTGCAACCAGCAGCCCCGTACTGTTACACTGATGATGCATTGCAATACTAAACCAGTCCTCCCCATCCCTTTCACCCTCCACATCTTCTCAAAACTAAAACCCAGAGTGTTTTCTTGCCTTGGATCAGCCCCACAAGGAAGAGGTTAGCAGACCAGTGAGGGCTCCATAGCTTGTGCTGTGGAGTCTCGTTTCAGAATCAGCCAAGATTTTCTTGGAGGCACAGTAAGAAGCATGGCATCAGCAGCCAGGCCCCAGAGGGGTGTCCTGCTCAGTTCATGCACCTCCCATTAGGGAGTTTTTGGGGGTTACAAACTGCTGTGTGCCTTTCAAAGCAGCTGTCACTAATGCATTAACACCTTCATCTGGTCCTGTGTGTAGGGGAGGAGCTGCAGAGCCAAATCTCTCACTTCTTACTGCTTTCTCATATCTTGCTGGAAGTTGTTTTCAGGTTTTAGGGAAGAGGGAGTAGAGCAAATAAACTGATCTTCAGTACTACCTGCAGTATCCTGTCTGCCTCTGCTGGCATCCATGGCACCCCTGCACCACCTGCTTTGTTCCCTTGTGGCTGTGCCACTGGAATGTGTGCCCATGTTCCTGGGTGGGTGACAGCAGCACAGACTGACCTTGTTCTTGCTCTGTAAATAAGGCACTTGGGAAACACAGGTTGTCCCATAACAGAGTCTCAGACAAGGCAGGGGGCCCAGGGCAGCTGTGCTGCCTCTGCTTTACAGCAGAGGCTCAGTGGTGAGAAGGAGGCGAGGCCTGCTCCAGGAATGTGCCTCAGCCTAGCCTGTGTAAGAAGCTGGGGGAAGGGGGGGGGTGGTGTGGGGGGGGGGCATCCTGTGCTGCTTCCAGGGCATGAGCAGGCATGATACAAGCCATGTGAACTCCTCCCTGCTCTTCCATGCCTACATCTCTGGGATTTGTGAAGAGACGAGCAGTGTCTTAATAGAACACTAGAGAAGAAACCTGCTCACTGAATAGCACATAGGCTGTCTGCCAGCATCTCAGTGCCCACTGCACTCTTAAAGAAATTGGCTGGCTCAAGGCACAAATTTACCCCGCAGGAAGTGGGGACTAGCAGGGTTGATGATCATGGTGAGCAACACACTGGATGCAATGAGATGCCCTCCAGCATTCTCAGACCTGAATCCTGGGGCAGCACCTGGGATGTCCTTGGAAAACATCAGAGCCACCAGCTCCTCCTGCCAGCCATCACTGTCCTCTTTCATACCAGCATACAGGCCAGGCCACCTGGAGCACATCCTTCCCCAAACATGGCTGCATTTCAGAGAGCTCCCCCTTCCATTACTAAAAAGAAGTGGTTATATTAATATTTAATTACCTTCAGGAACTATACAGTGAAGATTGGTATTTTTTCCCTAAATAGCTTTAAAATGAACCTTCATTAGGAAATTCTATATTATCCCTATGTATTACTTTTACTAGAAGATAAAAACACCTGGATTGAATTTTGTTCCCCCTCTTGTACTGTGCAAGAAGTGGGAGGGGGAACTGCACTTTAAGGGGGAAACATCTCTCTTCTGTGTAGTTTTCAGCCTTATGGGGCTTGGCAGCTTCCCTGGTTACCCACAGCGGGGCTGCATGAGCTCGTGGTTCCTTACTGTTCCCTCAGCACACAGTCCTCTTCTTGATCTGGTTTCCTAAGGGAAAAAGGGCTGCCTGCTTCCTGCCCCGAGCTCTCCAGCTGACTGCCCACTTTCTGGAAGCTTGAGGACACAGCCCCACAGCAAGCTTTGTGCAAGCAGGCAGCTCTGAGCATCCCTTGGGAAGCCACAACCTCTCTGGGACACCAGAGAAACCACCTGCAAGTCAGGACAAGGGGGAATGAGTCTTCCCATCATACCAAGGGGCTTAAAGCTGGCAGGGGCAGACACTGGTCCCACTGCTGAGGCAGCCCATGAATTCTTGCCTGTTCCCCTTGCTACCGTGGCCCCAGAGGTGCAAGCCAGCCAGACGGACTCAAGCAAACACAGGGTTTGGTTCCAGTACAGCTCAAGTGGTTTTCTTTTAATCCCAGAGAAGTAAAATGCAACATTTGAGTTGGTAATAACATCCAGAGACAGAAATCCAAGCCCCCTACTCAGTAAAGTCATTTGTGTTTAAGGCACTCTGCAAAACCAGCTTTCCTCTTCTTCCGATTTTCCCCACGCGGCAGCAGAATACCTGGTTTGGTCGTTTCTCCATCATGACATCCACGCATCCTGGCTCTTCTCACCATCTCCAGGAACTGGCAACAGCAAATCCAGCAGGAGCCATCAGAGAAATGCCAGGAGGCTGGATCAGTGAATACAGATGGGCATGGGAAGGAGCACAGTGCCCAGGGAGGGGGCACAGGGCTTCAAGCTTCTGCAGGAAAGGGACAGGCACTGGGTGTCCTCCCTGCAAGCACCGATATGATTCCCTTCCTTTTCTCCCCCTGGCTCCAAAAGGAAATGGGAGTAGGGGGACCCTCAATCATACCTCCCTAGCAGTGCTCCCAAACATGCAGCAGCACCCCAAAATGCAGGGGGCTGGGGGGGGGAACCCAGCTGCCCCCACTGTGCAGCAGAAATGAACCCCCCAACTTCCAGCCGTCAATAAATAACAATAAATAACTTAAACCTCAAGTAAATAAATAAATAAATAGGTAGGTAGATAGCTAGATAAATAAATAAGTGACCCAAGGACAGGATAGAGGGGAAGGGGCACCCCGAGGCTCAGGGCAAGTGGAACGTGCAAGTGGGCATTTCCATGACCTGCTCCTCCCTGAGATAACAGGGTGCTACTGTGAAAGGGGGGTGCAGGGAAGGCGTCCCATGGTGTGGTTGGGCAACTGAACCCAGGGTTCTGGGTACTCGTCCCTGGCATGGGCTCTGCAGCCAGGGCTCCAGGTCCCCATCAGTACAATTGCAGGCCACAGGGATGTGAGCAAAACCCAACTCACACTGGAGCTCTACGGTGTTGCCTCCCTCCCTCCCTCTCCTCCCCTTCACTTGAACATAGAGCCCTGTGCCTGGGCTCCACCGGTGGGTGCTGCTGAGCTCACCCAGCACCTCCAGCTAAAGTGAACACACACCTTTTGTGAACATGCAAACCGCATGTTTCTGCACACTACTTTTGTAATTTTTTTTCCTTTTAAACAGGGAAATGCCCATGTGGACAACCCACACATCAAACCAAGTGAAGTGCATCAAACAGAGTTAAGTGCATCAAATCCAGCCATCAGAGGAGCAGGCACGGCAGCCCAGCAGAAGCCCAGAGGGGTGAGCACAGGCATGGCCCCAGGGCTCATTCAGAGCCTGCCTGCAGGCTGCAGCAGTCCTGGGAGCTCAGGCACAAGGCTATGGTCAGGCACAGAGCCTGACACCAGCACCAGGCATCACCAGGCACCTCCCTGGGGACACTGCAGACATACATGGACAGAAATGGCAGACACTGCTGTCCCAGTGTGGCCAGCCAGCACATCCCAATAAATTCAATAGCACCGCTCACCAGTATCCTCGCTCTCCCAGCCACCAGGCACCAAGGTGCTGCCACAGCATCTCCCCAGTCTGATGGCTGTACACAGCCCTCGAGTTCCCATCAGCTGCGGAACCCCTTCCACTGGCTTTTTAGCTCTGATGCTGCCAGAGACATTTCTGTCCCACTGGGTCAAAAGTACACATCTGCCTTATTTCAAACCAAAAGGTACTTAATCCCTCCTCTTTTCTCAAAGACTACAGAAAATTGTATTTAAAGTTTCTAACCCTTCTCCACACATGCTTTTTGAGAAACAAAACATCAGTGACAGCAAAACCTGCCATCAACCCCATATCAGAACAAAACCATGGGCAGAGTCTCATAAGAGTGGGGCATCTTCCCACGCTGGCAAGCTCCCAGTGGAACTTTTGCTCCAGAAAACAAGCAAACCAGAGTCCCCTCTTCCTCCAAACCTTTCTCACCACAAGGCTATAGCCCCCAGCAAAATCCAGGTGTAGGCACCAAAAGCAGCAGATTCCCAGCCCATAGTGAGGCCAAGCGGGAGGAGAAGGACCACCAGCCTCAGCATAGGAAAATGTGCGTCAAGGCGTCAAAATGCAATACTCCCAAAGGGAAAAATAAGTAAGAATCCAATCAGCAGCAAACACTACTGAGAATAATAAATAGCACAGGGATTTCACATGGATTTTTGGTCTAAGATGCCTGGGGAGCTCCTTTGCTGGAAGGGACCAGGGTGCACATCCCGTCCCGGAAAAGCACAAGCCATGGCCAAAGCTCTGCAGAGCAATGCCACAGAGATGTGCCAGCACACCACAGGAAGCAAAGCAACGCCGAGGGCAGTGCTATTAATGCCACATGAAAGGCTTTGCACGGAAGTGCCAAACACAGTGACCCTCCCCAGTTTCTCCTGGCAGTGGGGCAGAAGATGAGACCCTCCCAGTAGGAATTACCCACACCCCTAGGGCAGGTCAAACCTCCCATGGCGTGAAGGCAGGGACATGAGCTGGAGGAGCCACAGGGCTCATGCTGGGGCAGAGGACAGAGCAGAGAAAGCAGCGAAAGTCATAACCATCTGCCCAGGAGTAATGGGGCACCTGTGGCACAGGCAGGGCAGCCATGGTTTGTGCCTCTGCTGCATCTTGAGGGCAAGGTACTGGGAGGTGCAGGTCACAGCCCATAGCACCACACCAACCCAGAGGATGCCGGTCATCCAGGCAGTGAGGGGCAATGGGAAAGACAAATAAAACCCTGGTACTCTCCAAGCACCTGCAGCAGCAGGAGGCAATGTCCAGGCAGAATGCTCACCTCCTTCCCAGGCAAACCCAGGCCTGCCTTGCACAGCCTCTGCTCACATCCCTGCCTCCAACCCATGGAAAGGAGATCTCCATCCCTGCAGAGCATGGGGAGTTACTGCAAGGCATGCCATCCTCTCCATCAGCATCCCTGCCAGTAGCCATCCTGCTCTGTGGGTGGCTGAGAAGGAGGAGTCTCCACATGAGCCAGCATTTGTATGGAAAATGAGCAAGCACCCAACTTCTTGCAAAGGACTTGGGTCTGCACTGGAAGAGTGTGAGTCCCAGGTCACCTCCAAGCTGGTCTGGGCACCCCACACAGTCAGCGAGTACCTAGGCAGAGTGAATGGGCGCTGCTCCCAACTTCTCATTCAGCTGAGAATCGATTTTGCTCCTGTAAGAAAAACATCAGCAGGATTTGGGGAGGGGGGAAATGGGGTTGAGGAACTGCAAAGGATTAGTGCACCTTAAAACGAAAGGACATCTAATCTGCCCTTAGATCTCACTCCAAGACAGAAAAGAGCTATGGCATCTCCTACACTCACAACTACTCCAAACACACCCAGATGCATGCAAAACATGTCCCACTTTCCCTCAGCTGTGGAAAACCCATCCTGGGCAGTGGTACTGGCCAGCACCAGGCTCCAGCCCAGCACCCAGCACTGCCAGCTCCCATTCCACTCCCGGACCCTGTGCCCAGCCCCAGCGGGCAGGACCAGGGCTCGATTATCGATCCAAATGCATAGGTATAGACACCGTGGGGACACCCATGATCCAGCAGGAAGGGTCACCACAGGAGCCCTCCACGTCCAGCAGACATGGTCTCCACTTCTACCTCCAGCTGGGTGGAAAGCAACATTTGCCAGCGGCATGGTTTGATCACACTCATGCTCCTTGCACTGCCCTGCAAGGAAAGATGATTCATTTAGGTCAGACAGCCTCTTTGCCAGCCGCAAGCCCCTACAAGTACTTGATTCTGCTTCCTGGGAAATCCTCCAGCTCAGTGATCCCTCTTCCACGTGCCCGTGCCAGCCAGGCTCTCTTTCTGACTAAGAGGGAGGCACATTTCCAACCACAGCTACAAAGGCAGGAGAACCCAAGAGGTCTGCTTTGGCTCAGGAACCCCATTCATTTGCAGCAGGCTGACAGCTCCCAGGTCCTCACATACGCGCCCTGGCGCTGATCTACTTGGGAGGTATCACAACTATAGGCTGGCCTCGCTTGGGTCTCCACATGAGGACTTGGGCATCGTTGGCATTGGGTTTCACTAGTGCATTTGGTGGGATGGGCTCCATCCTGCTGAGGATCCGGGGCTGCTCCTGCTGAGTCCTTCCCACCAGCCGTGCCCGCTGCCCCAGCAGCTGCATGGGATCAACCTCAATGTCCACTCTCATCCTCCACTTTATAGTCTGCAAGATGATCTTTTCCTTGGTGGTGGTGTTCATGGCCACCAGCCATGTGGTAAAGCTCTGGTCCCTTTTAATCCTGGTCAGCAGCGGCACATTACTGTTACTTACAGGGACAGCCCATGTCACGCTGGGGTAGAAATTGTCATTCATGCTCACTGAGAACCTGGAGATCTTGTTAGTGGGCCCGACCAGGGTCACAGTTTCTGTGGTGTTTCCGTACCAGGGGTAGCTCACACCATCCGAGTCGCTGATGGCTTTTACTCTTCCTTCTCGCAAGTCGGGCAGTTCCCAGCTTGACCTAGTGAACAGGAAGGGAAAGGCTAGGTTAGCAGGGAAACAACAGCAACAGTGCCCAGCAAGCAACATGGAGACAAGCAGTATGGGAACTGTCTTCCCACCTGCAGCTAGCTTTCAAGGACCTCATTTAAGAACAAATTTGGCTTCAGTTCCTTCACCACGCCTTCAGGGCCAGCTGAAGCCTTTGTTCTGCCAGCACAACACTATTTTAATTAACCTGCAATCAAACCAACTGGGCCAAAACTCATTGCTGAACAGCCTTCTCCATCCACCAGCTGCAGCACTGTGGCCACAGCACTGGCCCCTTCCCGCAATAAAAGTCTGTGATCTTTATGCCTGTAGATACATGCTCCTGCACAGAGGCACACACAATAATTAGATACCACAATTACGCCTGCTGCTGGTGCAGTGAAATCCCTGCAGTACGGCTGGGGGGGAAATTCCAGCCCAAATCTTGGCTGACAACCATGTTAGCAACACTGCGGGGCTTCAGCAGGGGAGACAATCACCACATGGCAATTACAAACAGGGAGCTCTGGCGAAACCTCCTACGGAGTCCAAGCTCCAGCTCCAGATGTATCTAGAGCTGCCTGCAAGTGGCTACCATTCCCCTGACAGATGACAACCTCTGCTATCTCCCGTGTCCCCAGGTGCCCTAGTGCCACACACAAATGCATCTGCCACAACACAAGGACATGGGCAGGCAGCACCCCTAATGCCTGCACACACTGCTCCGCCTGCTGCCCTGGGCAAGCTGCAGAATGGACCCTGCAGCCATCTCCAGATCCATGTTGCATCACCTTTTCAAATGGCTAAAGACACAATGGCAGAGCCAACAGCTTTGTCCCGAGTCACCCGCACACCCAGCCTTGGGGAAAGTTGGTTTCCAGCAGCCATTTCTGCACAGCTTCCCCCTTTCAACAAGCCCAGGGGGCAACTCCCCCAGCACACCCACACACATGACACAGCCCCACGAAAACCAGCCACTTGTCAGGGACAGCGGCCACCAAACCCTCTAACGAGTGAGCTTCAGGCCACCCAGCTGGTGCGGGAGCCAGCTGCAGGGCAAGAGGAGCGTGAGGGCCAGGGCACTGCGAGGTCCGGTCTGATGGGGCAGGGATGGTGCTGGGAGCAGGTGCTGGGGTGAAGGTAACACCCGTGCATACCTGTGGGTGCAGACATGGGGTGAAGGTGCAACAGGCGGTGCGCGGGGGTGCTGCCCACACTGGATGCTGGGGGGGCCATGCCATACCCAACCCGGTGCACACCGTGGGGCTTCTGCATCCCCGCTCCCGCCCAGTGTAGCCGGGGCGCCCTGCCCGGTGCCAGATCCCGTCCCCCCAACCCAGCGCGCTGCGGTGGCGCCAGTGGCGGTGCCGGTGCTCACACGCCGAGGTCGCTGTAGGTGTTGTAGAACTCCATGTGGTTGCAGGCCTGGATCCAGCCCACCACCCAGGTGTGCCGCCGGGCGATGGGGGGCATGAGGACGCGGGCCGAGGCGCGGAAATAGGGCGTGCGGTACCGCAGCACCACCGGCGAGCTCTCCTCGATGGCGGTGGCCGCCGGCTCGATGGTAGCCGACACGTCCGACACCACGATCTGCTCCCGACGCACCCGCGCCTTGCAGGCCACGCTCTGCAGGCACCCCATCGCCGCCGCCGAGCCGTCGTCACCCGCCGCTGCCGAGCCGCGGGGCCGGGGGGGCGGCCCGTCCCCCAGCCGCCGCCGCCGCACGCCCGCAGCCGCCGCGCATCGCCGCCCGCGCACCGGCGCCCGCACCGGCGCCGGCAGGGCGAAGGCGCCGCCGCCGAGGCTCTTGAGGCCCTCGCCGGCTGCCGTACACCGGCCGGGGTGGGCACGTGCGCGGCGGGGAGGTGGGGCGAGTCCGCGGGCTCACCGCCCCGGAGCAACGCGAAAAGCGACCTCCCCACCGCCAGGGGGCGCCTCAGTCCTTCCGCGGGGTCCTTTGTCTCCATGGCAACAGGGTGCGTCACGGTGGGCGGTGAAACAGGAAGAAGGAATGCGCCGGGGCCGCCTGGTACCGGGGAAGCAGCGTGCGGTGTCCCGGGGCACAGCGGGAGGGGGAACTGGGCCCCGGCGGTGCGGTAGCGGGAGGCCACGGTGCCGAGCAGGGTGCGGGGTCGGTAGCCGGAGACTCAGGCCCGGGCAGGGGTAACAGGCAGGTTCCTCGCCCAGGTCCCATTGGCAGAACAGGCCGGTGACCGCCCGCCGCTTTCCCAAGCCGCCTCCTGTCGCCATGCCGAGCCCCCGGAGCAGCCGCGAGCGACGCGCCGGCTGCAGCAGCAGCGGCCGCCCCGAGTTCCTGTCCCTCGTGAGCCAGCGCAGCCCCGTCTCCCCCGACAGCCCGTCACGCCGCAAGGAGTCGGGCAGCTCCGCGGCAGCCTCCATGCCAGAGGAGGACTGCATGAAGCTGAACCCTTCCTTCCTGGGCATCGCCCTCAGCTCCCTGCTGGCCATTGACCTTTGGGCATCCAAGCGCCTGGGCGTCTGCGCCGGAGAGGGCTCGACCTGGGGCAGCGCCCGCCCCCTCATGAAGGTCATCGAGATTTCGGGGCACGGCATCCCCTGGCTGCTTGGTACCTTCTACGGGCTCTGCCAAAGCGACAGTTCAGCAGCCAGAGAGGTGCTGCTCAACTTGCTCTTCGGTGAGGCTGGGGACTCACAAAGGGGCACTGCAGGCAGGGGCTGGCTGCAGCCGAGGGGGGAGGATGGGACCTTGAGGATGGGGCAGAACTGAGCAAACCTCAGTCTTCCTGTAGCCCTGAGGAATCCAGCTGATGTTGAGTAACTGGTGCAGGCTCACCTGGGGTGCCTGGTAGCATGGGTATGGCTCATCGGTCACAGCTGCAACCACATACAGTGAAACTCCTAACAGGTAAACTGCTCCTGCAGTTGCACAAAGCTTTCAGGGAACTGAACTCACTTTTACCTCTTCAGCTTATCAGCACAGCGCATTCGAGGTGCAGCTTCCTAGTATTGAGACACCACCCCATTTCCTGAAAAGCTGATCTGACACAGATGTCTACACCCTTGGACTCCCTGCAGGTAGTGCCTGCATGGATTGTTCTGTATCAGCCAGTGAGGAAACTTGATTTAAAGCATGCATTTTAATCTTGTGTGGTGCAATATCCCCACCCCCATTCCCCCCTCCGGCAATGTCCTGTCCTACTAGTTGTACTTACTCATTTTTGCTCATTTAGAAGCTAGGAGCTCCAGAGCAAACAGACCTTTTCAGATTCCTAGTTCTTACTCTTTAAGTTACAAATTATTAGTATCTCACATTTGTAATCTGAATTGAAATTTGCTTGGTAGGAAACATGGGTTTGTGTATCTTATTCATTTAGCAGCACATGGTTAAATTACAGTCCCAAAGCAGAGCAGAGAAGGGAGCTGGAAGCCTCCGACTTAACGTCTGCTCCAAGGAGGTCGTTCCAGTACCAGGGCCTTGTCCAGCCCTCAACCCTCCTGGTCAGAGCCACCCACCTTTCTGGGGCCCTGTCCTGGAGCTGCAGCACTCACATGGGAAAGGAACGTTCCCTAATGTCCAACATGTCCAGGAACCATATCTAAAAAAAGCAGCTGAGCAAGGTTTACATGGAGGGGAGATTGTTAAATTAAATGATTAACCAAAGGGAATGAACTGAAGGGACCAACAGATTTGTTGTCCAGAAACAAGCCTTAGGACAAGCAGAAGTTGGTTTCTCTCACAAGACTTCCTTGAAGGAAGTACCCCCGGCTCTGAGCACTGTGCCAACAAAGCTAACACAGGGAGGGAGAAAACACTCCCTACAGGAGAAGCTGCTCTTGCCAAATACTCACTCAACACTCCTCACAGATGCTTTACTTCAGACTTTTACTGTAACGGCCTTTAGTTCTCTGGGGGCAAGCCACTATTTTTTAAAATCATTGTTTATTAAGCTACTGAAAACCAAAGTGTGGTTAACTTCCTGGCATCATTCCCCCCAACAGCAGGGAGAATTTAGACTGCAGGAGCTCTGGCACTACAGAGGCTCAGGGCCCCCTCATACTGAGTTGTGGCTGAGTGCTTGCAATGGGTTAGTCATTCATGCACATCTGTTTGACCCCTACCCACCATCGTCAGCAAAGCGATGCTGACTCAGCACAGGCTGTCACGGAGTTGTGGGGTCTATTAACTCCTCTACTGACTTCAGGTTAAGGGTTGGTTTGAGCCCCGAGTCTAGTCAAGATCAGATTTTACGCACAAAAGCCCTTGGGTACAAGCCAGACAGAGACCTGTTGTTGGCTGTGGCAGGCAAATGTCTGGCATGCAAGGCTGCATGCAATAAGAGGAAAGATTGAAGAGACGCTCATGCTGGAGAAGGCCAAGCATTGGGATGCTCTCCCTGCCTCAGTACTGTAACCATGGGAAACACTGCCTTCTCTTAGCTTGTTTTGGTAGCCAAGTGCTTTCTCTTTAGCTAATGGCTTTGCTTTGATTCTTACTTTGTTTTCCATGGAGGGAAGAAAAACAACTTAAAATGAACAAACACAAAACCAAAACTCACTCACTGTTACTGTTTCCTAGCATTGCTGCTGGATCTCGTGATGGTGGCAGCGGTGAAAGGGATTGTCAAGCGGCCACGGCCCACCCACAACAAGATGGACATGTTTGTCACCATCTCAGTGGACAAGTACTCCTTCCCATCGGGCCATGCCACCAGAGCTGCCCTGGTCTGCCGCTTCGTTCTGCGCCACCTGGTACTAGCCGTCCCACTGCGGGTCCTCATGGTGCTCTGGGTTCTCATTGTCAGCATTTCAAGAGTCATGCTGGGCAGGCACAACATGACAGACGTGCTCTTTGGTCTGCTGCTGGGCTACATGCTGTACAGTGTGGTGGAGTACTGCTGGTTGTCCCCGCTCAGTGCGCCTGCCCTCTTTGCACTCTGGAGCCATTGATGACTGGGTCCCTCCCAAAGGAAGAGACATGCACCTGGTTTTCTAAGCATGCACATGGAGGGGATATTGGGACTTAAGCTCATACATTGGACCCCATCTATCCCACCAAGACTTCAACACTAGCGGCGCTGCAGGCTCCTGGGCCTGCACTTTGGTGCCGTCTTGCCCTGTTGGGCAGGGTGTCTACAGGCAAAGCATCTGCACTGACTGCTGTCCCATTAAAAGAAACAAGCAGTCCCTGCAGAGCCTAGGAAGGGGTCAGCACATTCATGTGGCAGCTCACAACTGGTACTGTGAATCTGCATGCTGTTGCTGGGCACCTGCTGCATTAGCCCATGATGTATGTGGTAGTTGTGGCTTCTCTGAAAATACACTGATCATGTTACAATTACGAGTGTGCCCTGCACAGCCTGGTGTATAAAATATGCCTGAAGGGCACTCTCTAGGGTCTCTCCTCAAGTTTGTGAAGGACACTGCCTACCTAAACAGTGCATCTCTTCCATTGCTCTAGATTTAAGTACTATACAGAAAACAGATCTTAAAGCACTGAGGCCAGAGGCACCTGGCTCCCAGTGTCATGGGGAGAAAAGGTACAATCAAAGGTTTGGTCCATCCATGCTATCTCCAAGACAGCAAGTAATGGAGGAAGCATCTGCTAACAGCAGCCTGCTCCTGAAGACCTTGTGCAGAACTTCATAACTGCTTTTCCCCTCCACAGGGATTTTAGTCTACCGGGGATACAGCACATTCAGTAGTTCCTGCTTGCCAGTATGCTACCTGACAGCATACTGCAGCATGAGTCCCTTCCCCGTAGCCCACCAGCCAGCAGCTCACAATCAACCAGGTAGCCCAGGAACTGAGTCTTACCTGCACCTCCTGTAGCAAGAGGCTCTGGCTTTGCCAACCACCACCACAGCTCCCCATGCTGGCTGGTGGGCTGGCTCTCCTACCCTGGCACCATTAGTCCTGGCAGCCTGTATTTTACAGAAAACTGCTTGTCTTTGGCAGAAGAGCACCATGAGGTGCTTCTGTAATAAGCCAGTGATGAGACTGAGCCAGAAAAGCACAGCATCCACACCAACAAGAAACACAGCCAGGTAGAGAATGAGGGCTCTGGACTGGACTTAAATAGTGCTCGTGGCATGGGGAAGTAGGAGTTTCAGCCCAGGGGAGGCTCATCATGGCCATTTGGGTCTCTTAGCACACTCAATGCCTGGAAAACATGGATTAGGTCATATTAAAACCAGTCAGTGTCTTATGCATGCTGTTTCTCTGGGTGAAGTGTGCAGGAGCAGCCTGAGGGCTGCTGGTACAAGCATCCTATTTCTGTCCGTCACCCACTGTCAGTTATACAGAGGCTGCAATGAAAGCACTTGACACAGCAAGGTTCCCCCAGAGCTGAGCCCTGAGCTAACAGCTGTGGGTTGGCACTCCAGCAACCAAAAAACCCAATCACCTGGTTGCAGCGCATCCCTGGCAGTGGGCTGGGCCAGTTCAGACTGTGCACAGCAGCACACAGCCACTCCACCAGCCCTCCCACCTCAAGGCAGAGATGAGTTCTCTGGTGGCTGCAGATCACAGGCTTGCAGCACACTCCAGTGTGGTCAGTGTTTGGGGTGATTGGGGTTACTGAGCTGTGCCAAAACATCCTAGCTCTACTCTTTCCCAAACACAGGGTGCTTTTTGTCCAAGTGTTCTTAGAGCCATTGGGATCTTCCTCTCCAGGCAGAAGGAGTATGGCAGCAACTCTGTGCATAAGTGGTTTGTTCCTACATACATGTGCATGCCAAAAGTTGCTCCCAGCTCACTTGAAAGACCCTCCACAAGCTGCTTGGTGGCACCTGCTATCTCCAGTGCACAGCCCCACTTTGTCATGGGCTACCCAGCCACCCTGTCACCTCTGCTCTGTTTTCTTTCCACCTTCCCCAGGGAGACCTTTGGTCTCCTTTTGTGATAATCACTTGTAACTGCTGGTGACAAGAGACTGGTGGTTTCTGCTCAGTTTGTCCCATAGTACCTCTGCCCATTGGGGAAGCCCTGAGCAGATGTGTCTGCATGCACTGCCCAACACACACTACATCCTGGCCAGGCATGGGGACAGTGGCTTTCCCACTGACATTAACAAGCTGATCTTGACTGAAATGCCATGGTTTGTCCATGATGCACTCCCACAGACACCTGTGCCTCATGGTGCAGTTCAGCCAGGTAATGAGCCCAAGCATAGGTGGGGGCAAAGTCCAAGGCTGTGCCGTCCCTTATAGCTTCCAAGGAAGAAGGGCAAATTCAAAGGCAACCTGCACAGAGATTTCATAGCACAGCAGTGAGGTTGAAAGCTGGAAGTCCTCTGTACCTGTCACCTTGGCCATCTCTGCAGAGCCTGAATGAGCCAGAAGCCAGCTGCAAGTGGAGCTGGGAGAGAAGCACTGACAGTGCTGCCTGCTTGCCATTCCCGTGCTGATCCACTTGCCGATCTGCCGGCCTGGTAAGAGATGCTTTTGATGCTTTTCAACATACAGGCAGAATGTGGATGGCAGCTTGGTGCCTCTGGCCAGACAGAGGTCAGCCTTGTCAACAGCAAGGGACAGAAAGAGCTTTATTACACCTTTATTACACCTTTATTTACTGCAAACATACTATGACTTTTAGAAAGTTAAAAACCTCTCAGCTGCAGAGCTTGGCCTCTCCAGAACCCTGCTCTGGGGCAAAGCTCCTCTGACACAGGAGAGCAGATTTCCCCTGCAGCCCCCAGGGGCTGTCCAGCTGCAGGTGTGCCAGGAGCCAGTGGTGTGGTCCAGAGCCACCTGGTGCCAGAGAAAGCCTTTTCCTAACCGGCCCCACCACCCTGGCACCAGCGACACCCCAGAAGCACAGTGCTCCTCACACCCAGGTCCCGCTGGCCTCACCTGTGACTCCAATGGCCCAGGAGTGAGCTATGGCTCCAGGGACACTGTGCAAACATGCCCAGCCCAGGGGCAGGGGGGACATAGGCAATGTGGTACCTGGTGCCAACGGAGCAGCTGGAACCACGTGTGCCCCCAGGTACCATGGTTGGGATGATTCTCTGTCATGGTTTAAACTCAGAGGGCAACTAAGTACTACCCAGCCGATTGTTCACTCCTTACACCCCCTGGGATGAGGAGGAGAATGAGAAAAAGGTAAAACCCATGGGTTGAGATAAAAACAGCTGAAATGAAAAAAAAAAATGAAAGGGAAAAAAGAAATGGGAAGAAAATCCAAGAAAGACAAGCAATGAACAATACAATTGTTCAGCACCTGCTGACTAATACCCAGCCTGACCTGAGCAGCAATTAGTCCCTTCTGGGTGACTCCCCTAAGTTTATATACTGCACATGACATGCTGTGGTATGGAATACCCTTTGGCTAGTCTGGGTCAGGTGTCCTCTCTCTGCTCCCTCCTGGCTTCTTCTGCATCTCCTCACTTGCAAAGCATGAGAGACTAGAAGTCGTCAAAGGTAATCACTACTTAGAAACAAGTAAAACATTGGTGTGCTATCAGCATTATTCTCAGACTAAATGCAAAACACAGCACTACACAAGCTACTAAGAAGAAAATTAACTCTATCCCACCTGACCCCAGGTGAGGTATAGGGACATCCTGATAATCAGAGGTAAAAATTCAGAGCAGTATTCGTTTACTAAAGACGCACACCAAAGGAACTGCCTGCATCTCCACCTTTCCTGCAACCCCATATCCCCACAACATCCCTGCTGTTGTCTCGTAGTCCCAGACAAAACTTTGCGGGCTGCCCCTTAGTTTGTGATCATTTTGGAGCACAGGACCAAACTGCACAGCTGCGACCCATGCCTCTAAACCCCGTTCTCTGACGCTGTCTCCAGGCAGAGACCAGAGGTGGAGGGCAGCATGGCAAAGAGGGTGGCCATCATTGGAGGGGGCAGCAGCGGGCTGTGTGCCATCAAAGCCTGCCTGCAGGAGTCATTGGAGCCCATCTGCTTCGAGAGGAGTGGGGACATTGGAGGGCTCTGGAGGTTTGAGGTAAACCGTGCCGGCCACATGTCTTGCTGGGGGTCAGCACTGCAGCAGCGGGGGGTTCAGTGCCTGCTGCTGGGGTGGCATGCAGCCGGCTGTGGCAGGGTCCTGAGGGTGAGCTGAGGGCAGGGGCTCTACATAAAGAGCCACCACATGAGCCCCAGCCATCTGTCCCCATCATGGTGCCTCACCACACAAGGCCATGCCCCACTCCTGCAGGAGCACCCCGAGGAGGGCCGCGCCAGCATCTACCGCTCTGTCATCATAAACACCTCCAAGGAGATGATGTGCTTCAGCGACTTCCCCATACCTGAGGACTTCCCCAACTACATGCACAACTCCAAGGTCATGGAGTACTTCCACATGTACGCCCAGCACTTCGACCTGCTCCGCCACATCCGATTCAGGGTGAGAGCCGCCAGGGTCTGGGGTGAGCGGTGAAACAGGCCCGGGGCACAGGGTGCCTGACGCCCGCTCCCCTTGCACCCAGACCAGCGTGTGCCGCGTGTCCAAGCGCCCCGACTTTGCCATCTCGGGCCAGTGGGAGGTGGTGACGGAGAGCGAGGGGAAGCAGGAGGCGGCCGTCTTTGATGCTGTGCTGGTGTGCACCGGGCACCACACGGAGGCCCACCTCCCGCTGAGCACCTTCCCAGGTACTGCCTCACAGCCGGGCATGAGGAGAGACCCCAGAAAGCTTGGCTGTGGCAGTCCCTATTCTCCCTATTGCTCTTCCTTCTGGCCTCAGCATTTCCCTGCCTTGAGACAGCTCCAGGAGAGCTCTCATGCTCCCCAGGAAAGGCTCTGCCAGGGCCAGAGACACCCCCAACTCAGTGTTTCAGGAGGTGACCCTCCAGCCCAGCGCCCAGGAAGCCAAGCATCCCTGCTCCCTGCCCACAGGAATCAACAACTTCAAGGGCCACTACATCCATAGCCGAGACTACAAGGACACTCGGGACTTCACAGATAAGAGGGTCGTTGTCATTGGGATCGGGAATTCAGGGGGAGACCTGGCCGTGGAGATTAGCCAAGCAGCCAAGCAGGTGAGCATCAGGGTGCCAGTGGGGTGCCAGTGGCCAGGGCAATGCCTCGTGGGACACTGCCAGCTCCACAAGGACACCGGCACCAACGTGCTGGCGCAGCCACTGCTCTGTCCTGGTACTCACTGGCTCCCACTGGTGTTGGCTCCCACTACCACAGCCTTCGTCAGCTGAGACTCGATCCTGTATGGATACCCCAATTTCCATCTCTGAGCCCTGGGCTGGGGCTGCCCCTGGGCCGCTCCCTACTTCCCTGCCCCTGCTGGGTGCTGACCACCAGCTCTCTCTTGCCCCCTGGTCTTCGCTGAGTGCTTGGCCAGCAGGAAGAGGACCTACCCTGGGGCAGGGACGTGTCTCCCCCATGCAGCCCCTCAGGACCTGCAAAGCCTTCAGGAGGCAACGCTTACTTCCTTGCCCAGGTCTTCCTCAGCACCCGCCGTGGAGCTTGGATCTTCAACCGTGTTGGAGATCAGGGCTACCCCATTGACACCATCATCACCACCCGCAGCAACGCGTTCCTGAAGAAGCTGCTGAGCCAGTCCATTGTGAGCAACTCTGTGGAGAAGCAGCTGAACGCCAGGTTCAACCACTCACTCTACGGCCTGAAGCCAAAGCACAGGTGCCAGCAAATGCTCCCCCTTCCCAGGAGGGACCCTCTGCCTCCCACGTGTCCAGCACTGCTCAGCCATTCCCATGCTCTGTGTGCCTGAGCTGGGCCAAGGCACCAGCCCTGGAACCCTGGTTAATAGCTGTGTGGTGCCCAGGCAATGCTCCAGGGAGCCACCACGGCCCCTTCCAGGGACCCTTGGTGCAGTGCATTGGCACCTGCCAAGCATCCCTGTGGGAACAGCCCCACTGGAAATGAGCATCCCTGAGTACCCGTATCCCCAGAGCAGGGAGCCATGGCTGGAGCACAGCACAGAGCAGAGACACCCACTGCAGCACCCTCATGGCTTCTTGTGCTTTCAGGGTCCTTGACCAACACCCAACCATCAACGACGACCTGTCCAACCGCATCATTTCGGGCAGGGTGCTGGTGAAGCCAAACATCCAGGAATTCACAGAGACATCTGCCATCTTTGAAGATGGTACCAGGGAAGACATTGACGCTGTGGTCTTTGCCACAGGATACAGCTTTTCCTTCCCCTTCCTCGAAGGCTGCGTGAAGGTGGTGGAGAACCAGATTTCCCTCTACAAATTCATGTTCCCCCCTGACCTGGAGAAGCCAACACTGGCCTTCATTGGCCTTATCCAGCCCCTGGGTGCCATCATGCCCATCTCTGAGCTCCAGAGTCGCTGGGCCACCCGCATCTTCAAGGGTAAGCGAGACGAATCTCCCCTGTGGCTGTAGCCCAATCCTGCATCCCTGGAGCTGGCATGAATGGTGCCCAGCCATGGGCATCCAACTGCACATGCCATCCTCGCAGTGGGTGATGGCATGGCCACTTTACAGACTGGCTTTTGCCTGAGTGGCACAGGGACATCTAGATCCTGAGCCCCAGGGGCTGCTCCTTCATCTTTCAAGGAGCTTGGGCATGCCTCAGGTGCCAGACTGTCCACCACACTGGAGCTGGCTGGGGTACCCCACCCGGGCAAGGGCAGCACCACAGTGATCACAGCTGCTAATGTGGTGCTGCACTGCCATGCTGTGGTTCATTCTCCCCAGGGCTAAACAAGCTTCCCCCACGGCACTACATGGAGGCAGACATCAAGCAGAAGAGAGAAGCAACAGAAAAACAGTAAGAGACCCCCCAAAACAGGGAGGGCACTGTTTCGGGTACAGCTGAGGTTGGGCATCTGTCCTGTCCTGTGCTGCTTCCAGACACACTTGGCATTGCCAGAAAATGGCAGGGATGAACTCAGCTGCTCTAAACCCACCCTTCTGATCCTTTCCAGTGGTGGTCCATCCAATACCACCCTCTGGGCATGCAGGGCCTCTGCTGGTTCTGCCTCCAGCAGCCGCTCACCCTCCATGTCCACAGGTACGTGAAGAGCCGGCAATACACCATCCAGGTGGATTACATCCCCTACATGGATGAGCTCGCCTGCCAGGTGGGGGTCAAGCCCAACCTGCTCACCCTCTTCCTCACCGACCCCAAGCTGGCACTGGAGGTAGCCTTCGGGCCCTGCACACCATACCAGTACCGCCTGCGGGGCCCAGGCAAGTGGGCCGGTGCCAGGGAGGCCATCCTCACCCAGCGGCAGCGCATCATCAAGCCCCTGCAGACACGGCTCGTGGAGGAGCACCCATCAGCTCCCACCATGCCCCTCTTCTTCAAGCTGGTTGGAGCTGTGGCCATCCTTGCCATCGGTTTTGCTTACTTGTAGGTGACCCACAAGTGTGGGAAGGGATGTGTCGAGCATGCAGGCTGTTCATCTCCTGCCCCCTGGTAACCTGTGCACCCCAGTGCTGGCAGGACCTCTCCTCCTGCCCCACATGGCCCCGCTGTGGCCACACCACAAGCCCAAGATGCACAGAGCCTCTACAGCTCATGAAATAACACCCCAGCGCCCGATCTCTGCCTTTCCCCAGGAAGCCACAGGCAGGGACAGAAGAGGAAACCTGCTCATGCACACAATAAAATCCAGTCCCTCTTAGCCTGCTCTTTCAACCCAGCAGGGACACACCAGGCTTTTCTGTCACCTCTAACCCAGCCATGCCACCATGGCACACTCACACAAGAGCTGAGCGGCAAAGGCACAGCAGACTTCCTAACTGGATAAATGTGTTAAACAGAGACAGGTGTCTTTCCCGTTATTGGCACCACCATGATACCCTGTGCGCCCATAGGACTCACACGGCTTTGAGGTTGGCTCATGCCCACACCCCATGGCAGCACAGGCTGCACACGTGCATGCACACACATGCAAACGTGAGGCAAAACAGCCTCACTCAGGGTAGTCACAGTGGCACAGTTCAGTGTCAGCCTCATCTCCTGCATGCAGGCTCCACTGCTGGGTAGCTGGGGACATGCAGCGGTGATGGGGTTCCTGGCCACTACACGCCTGGGCCGCACAGCTGCCGGCTACCAGTGCACTCAGCATCCACAAGCTTTTGTTTTCAATGCCATGACCTGCCAAAATCTGCACCATGGGCACATCTCAGCCCTCAGCCCAGGAATTCCCACGGCAGCATCAGCACTGTTAGGCGCTTACAGGTCCTCGTGAGCCCTTTGCAGGAGCAGGCGCAGGCAGCAGGTGTGGCAGGGCAGCAGGGAGAACCTGGGGATCACATCAGCCAGAAGCACATCTTATGACAGCCCAGCTGATCTCAGTCAGGCTGGGGAAGCACCTGAAGAGCCATTCCCAACCAAGTGGCACTGTGCACTCCCGCTGTGACCCACCAAGATCCGCACACCCCCAAGTGTGTTTTACCCCAGGACAAGACTCTCCAGCATCTCTGCCACCACCACAGTGCTGCAGGACATGGCTGCCCAGAAAGTAGCCATCATTGGTGCCGGTGCCTCTGGCCTGTGTGCCCTGAAATGCTGCCTGGATGAGGGGCTGGTACCCACCTGCTTTGAGAGGAGCAGAGACATCAGGGGTCTCTGGCTTTTCGAGGTAACCCCTGCACTGTGTCAGCCTGGCCTGCGGCACCTGCATGGACAGGACATGTGGATAATTGCGGAGTTAAAAGTACAGAGCAGCGTTTGTTTACATGGTATTCTCGCCATGGGGACCTGCTGCATCTCTGCCTCTCCTGTAACCCCATGTACCTGCAGTGTCCCTGCTCTGCGGTTCCTGGAAAGGCGCCTGGTACGATTACTTACCTCGCCCCTCTGAACCTCTGGCAAGGGACGCTGCCGGAAAAGCCAAACAAGTTTCAGTGCAACCGGTTGCTGGCTTCCTCTCCCGTGTGGGAGGAGTCACCAAGTGGGAGGCCCCAGTTACCGCTGACGCGCACCATAAACCCAGGCCAGCATCAGGCATCCAAGTTTGGGGAAACTGCGCGCAGACCCTCACTAACTGCCTGCAGGCCACTTGCCTTCCCCGGGCTGCTGAACCCACAGCTGCAGGTCAGTGAAGGGGGTGCTGGTGGGTGCCAGCACACAGGAGGTGCCGGCATGGTGCCATCAGCATTTACACTAGGGAAGGTGGAGGGCAAAGTGCAGATTCATGGGCTGTGTCCACCAGGGTGGGAGCCATGGGTCCCCATGGGAGGGCACGGCACTCCAGCATGCCTCCATTGCTTGGACATGCCGTGAGGGGGGAGATTTCAGGAATCCATAACTCTTGACAGCACTTCTTCCAGGTGTCTGGATGTAAGCACTGCAATGGTGAAAAACCTCACCATTGACCATATTCCTGCTGGAGCGAAGGGATAGCTGTACTCTCACGGTCCCAGACAGAACATTGCAGGCTGCCCCTAAGTTTGTGATCATTTTGGAGCACGGGACCAAACTGTGCACAGCTGCGACCCATGCCTCTAAACCCCGTTCTCTGACGCTGTCTCCAGGCAGAGACCAGAGGTGGAGGGCAGCATGGCTAAGAGGGTGGCCATCATCGGAGGGGGCAGCAGCGGGCTGTGTGCCATCAAAGCCTGCCTGCAGGAGTCATTGGAGCCCATCTGCTTCGAGAGGAGTGGGGACATTGGAGGGCTCTGGAGGTTTGAGGTAAACCGTGCCGGCCACATGTCTTGCTGGGGGTCAGCACTGCAGCAGCTGGGGGTTCAGTGCCTGCTGCTGGGGTGGCATGCAGCCGGCTGCGGCAGGGTCCTGAGGGTGAGCTGAGGGCAGGGGCTCTACATAAAGAGCCACCACATGAGCCCCAGCCATCTGTCCCCATCATGGTGCCTCACCACACAAGGCCATGCCCCACTCCTGCAGGAGCACCCCGAGGAGGGCCGCGCCAGCATCTACCGCTCTGTCATCATAAACACCTCCAAGGAGATGATGTGCTTCAGCGACTTCCCCATACCTGAGGACTTCCCCAACTACATGCACAACTCCAAGGTCATGGAGTACTTCCACATGTACGCCCAGCACTTCGACCTGCTCCGCCACATCCGATTCAGGGTGAGAGCCGCCAGGGTCTGGGGTGAGCGGTGAAACAGGGCCGGGGCACAGGGTGCCTGACGCCCGCTCCCCTTGCACCCAGACCAGCGTGTGCCGCGTGTCCAAGCGCCCCGACTTTGCCATCTCGGGCCAGTGGGAGGTGGTGACGGAGAGCGAGGGGAAGCAGGAGGCGGCCGTCTTTGATGCTGTGCTGGTGTGCACCGGGCACCACACGGAGGCCCACCTCCCGCTGAGCACCTTCCCAGGTACTGCCCCACACCCGGGCATGAGGAGAGACCCCAGAAAGCTTGGCTGTGGCAGTCCCTATTCTCCCTATTGCTCTTCCTTCTGGCCTCAGCATTTCCCTGCCTTGAGACAGCTCCAGGAGAGCTCTCATGCTCCCCAGGAAAGGCTCTGCTAGGGCCAGAGACACCCCCAACTCAGTGTTTCAGGAGGTGACCCTCCAGCCCAGCGCCCAGGAAGCCAAGCATCCCTGCTCCCTGCCCACAGGAATCAACAACTTCAAGGGCCACTACATCCATAGCCGAGACTACAAGGACACTCGGGACTTCACAGATAAGAGGGTCGTTGTCATTGGGATCGGGAATTCAGGGGGAGACCTGGCCGTGGAGATCAGCCAAGCAGCCAAGCAGGTGAGCATCAGGGTGCCAGTGGGGTGCCAGTGGCCAGGGCAATGCCTCGTGGGACACTGCCAGCTCCACAAGGACACCGGCACCAACGTGCTGGCGCAGCCACTGCTCTGTCCTGGTACTCACTGCAGCTGGCGGTGCTGGCTCCCACTACCCCAGCCTTCGTCAGCTGAGACTCGATCCTGTATGGATACCCCAATTTCCATCTCTGAGCCCTGGGCTGGAGCTGCCCCTGGGCCGCTCCCTACTTCCCTGCCCCTGCTGGGTGCTGACCACCAGCTCTCTCTTGCCCCCTGGTCTTCGCTGAGTGCTTGGCCAGCAGGAAGAGGACCTACCCTGGGGCAGGGACGTGTCTCCCCCATGCAGCCCCTCAGGACCTGCAAAGCCTTCAGGAGGCAACGCTTACTTCCTTGCCCAGGTCTTCCTCAGCACCCGCCGTGGAGCTTGGATCTTCAACCGTGTTGGAGATCAGGGCTACCCCATTGACACCATCATCACCACCCGCAGCAACGCGTTCCTGAAGAAGCTGCTGAGCCAGTCCATTGTGAGCAACTCTGTGGAGAAGCAGCTGAACGCCAGGTTCAACCACTCACTCTACGGCCTGAAGCCAAAGCACAGGTGCCAGCAAATGCTCCCCCTTCCCAGGAGGGACCCTCTGCCTCCCACGTGTCCGGCACTGCTCAGCCATTCCCATGCTCTGTGTGCCTGAGCTGGGCCAAGGCACCAGCCCTGGAACCCTGGTTAATAGCTGTGTGGTGCCCAGGCAATGCTCCAGGGAGACACCACGGCCCCTTCCAGGGACCCTTGGTGCAGTGCATTGGCACCTGCCAAGCATCCCTGTGGGAACAGCCCCACTGGAAATGAGCATCCCTGAGTACCCGTATCCCCAGAGCAGGGAGCCATGGCTGGAGCACAGCACAGAGCAGAGACACCCACTGCAGCACCCTCATGGCTTCTTGTGCTTTCAGGGTCCTTGACCAACACCCAACCATCAATGACGACCTGCCCAACCGCATCATTTCGGGCAGGGTGCTGGTGAAGCCAAACATCCAGGAATTCACAGAGACATCTGCCATCTTTGAAGATGGTACCAGGGAAGACATTGACGCTGTGGTCTTTGCCACAGGATACAGCTTTTCCTTCCCCTTCCTCGAAGGCTGCGTGAAGGTGGTGGAGAACCAGATTTCTCTCTACAAATTCATGTTCCCCCCTGACCTGGAGAAGCCAACACTGGCCTTCATCGGCCTCATTCAGCCCCTGGGTGCCATCATGCCCATCTCTGAGCTCCAGTGTCGCTGGGCCACCCGCATCTTCAAGGGTAAGCGAGACGAATCTCCCCTGTGGCTGCAGCCTAAGCCAGCACCCCTGGACTTGGGTTAAAAGGTGCCCAGCAATGGCTGGGAGGAAGCAGCTGGCTGTGCCTTCCTGGCAGTAGCCAATGGCATGGCCAGCGTACATCCCAGCCATTGTTGCCAGCACTGCTATGCTGTGGCTTATCCTTCCTAGGGTTGAACAAGCTTCCCCCACGAAACTGCATGGAGGCGGACATCAAGCAGAAGAGAGAAGCAATGGCAAAACAGTGAGTTCCCCCTGAGAATAGGGAGGGCACTGTTTCGGGTACAGCTGAGGTTGGGCATCTGTCCTGTCCTTTGCTGCTTCCGGGCACACTTGGCATTGCCAAAAAATGGCAGGGATGTGCTTAGCTGCTCTAAACCCACCCTTCTGATACTTCCCAATGCTAGTCCATTTAGTAACGCCTTTCTGGCGTGGGAGTTATCTGTCACTTCTGCCCCTAACACCCGCTAACCCTCCATGTCCACAGGTACGTGAAGAGCCAGCGGCACACCATCCAGGTGGATTACATCCCCTATATGGATGAGCTCGCCTGCCAGGTGGGGGTCAAGCCCAACCTGCTCACCCTCTTCCTCACCGACCCCAAGCTGGCACTGGAGGTAGCCTTCGGGCCCTGCACACCATACCAGTACCGCCTGCGGGGCCCAGGCAAGTGGGCCGGTGCCAGGGAGGCCATCCTCACCCAGCGGCAGCGCATCATCAAGCCCCTGCAGACACGGCTCGTGGAGGAGCACCCATCAGCTCCCACCATGCCCCTCTTCTTCAAGCTGGTTGGAGCTGTGGCCATCCTCGCCATCGGTTTTGCTTACCTGTAGGTGACCCACAAGTGTGGGAAGGGATGTGCCGAGCATGCAGGCTGTTCATCCCCTGCCCCCTGGTAACCTGTGCACCCCAGTGCTGGCAGGACCTCTCCTCCTGCCCCACATGGCCCCGCTGTGGCCACACCACAAGCCCAAGATGCACAGAGCCTTTACAGCTCATGAAATAACACCCCAGCGCCCGATCTCTGCCTTTCCCCAGGAAGACACAGGCAGGGACAGAAGAGGAAACCTGCTCATGCACACAATAAAATCCAGTCCCTCTTAGCCTGCTCTTTCAACCCAGCAGGGACACACCAGGCTTTTCTGTCACCTCTAACCCAGCCATGCCACCATGGCACACTCACACAAGAGCTGAGCGGCAAAGGCACAGCAGACTTCCTAACTGGATAAATGTGTTAAACAGAGACAGGTGTCTTTCCCGTTATTGGCACCACCATGATACCCTGTGCGCCCATAGGACTCACACGGCTTTGAGGTTGGCTCATGCCCACACCCTATGGCAGCACAGGCTGCACACGTGCATGCACACGCATGCAAACGTGAGGCAAAACAGCCTCACTCAGGGTAGTCACAGTGGCACAGTTCAGTGTCAGCCTCATCTCCTGCATGCAGGCTCCACTGCTGGGTAGCTGGGGACGTGCAGCGGTGATGGGGTTCCTGGCCACTACACGCCTGGGCCGCACAGCTGCCGGCTACCAGTGCACTCAGCATCCACAAGCTTTTGTTTTCAATGCCATGACCTGCCAAAATCCGCACCATGGGCGCATCTCAGCCCTGAGCCCAGGAATTCCCACGGCAGCATCAGCACTGTTAGGCGCTTACAGGTCCTCGTGAGCCCTTTGCAGGAGCAGGCGCAGGCAGCAGGTGTGGCAGGGCAGCAGGGAGAACCTGGGGATCACATCAGCCAGAAGCACATCTTATGACAGCCCCGCTGATCTCAGTCAGGCTGGGGAAGCACCTGAAGAGCCATTCCCAACCAAGTGGCACTGTGCACTCCCGCTGTGACCCACCAAGCTCCGCACACCCCAAGTGTGTTTTACCCCAGGACAAGACTCTCCAGCATCTCTGCCACCACCACAGTGCTGCAGGACATGGCTGCCCAGAAAGTAGCCATCATTGGTGCCAGTGCTTCTGGCCTATGTGCCCTGAAATGCTGCCTGGATGAGGGGCTGGTACCCACCTGCTTTGAGAGGAGCAGAGACATCAGGGGGTCTCTGGCTTTTCAAGGTACGTCCTGCTCTGTGCCAGCCTGCCCCACTGCAGCAGGACAGCCAGCATTGGGATTATTGGCAGGTAATGAAGCACCTCTCCCCTGCTTTTCATATATCTGGCAGTCATGTTTCCCAGGAAAACTACATGGAAGATAAACTGCTGTGACAGCAGGAAGCTGGTGTCCTTTCAGAAACCCTTTCTTCCCAGTCTCATCCACCCCTTCCCCTGCTTGTTTGTTTTGTCTCCTGCATGACTTTCCTACCCATCCTTTTCCCAGCTGACCCCACTGTCTATCCCAGTCCCAGTCCCTGTCCTGATGATCCCTTGTCTGGAAGTCCAACTTGTTCTTCTCCGTGCTTCTGCGGCACTCACCCATGCAGAAGTACCGAGCACTTCCTCCTCTGTTGCTTTTGCTCTCCTTTCATCAGGGGAAACCCCAGAGCTCATTTCTGCCCCTACCTACTGAAGCTGTTTGTTGACTTTTTCCCTGGAAACCCACCAAGATGACAAGCCTTTCACAATGTCCTGATACACAGGGGGAAAGCCTGGGAGGGGGACACACCACAGCAAGACAGAATGGGGTTTGGGTTGGTCCAGTTACAGTCCACTGGTTCTGCCCATGGTGGTTCAGAAACAGGAGTGGGGAAGTAGAGCTAGAGCATCAGCACCCAGCTGCTGGGGCAGACTCACCACGCACGATTGGCCACTTAGCTGGAAGAGCAGGAGTTGGCTCAGGAACTGGTGAGACCTGATGTGGCAGCTGGGGCAATGACATCATGGACAGCATCAGGAACGCCCTGCCTCATCAGGGACAGGGGTGGGAGCAGGGAAACTGAGGCACAAGACCCGACCACACACTGTTACCAGTCATTGCCCTCTTCCCTTTTATGTGGGGTGGACAGTCACACGCATAGGAGAGTGCTAAGTGCAGGGATAGGTGCGATCACCTGTGGCTTAACCCTGCACCCACAGGCACAATGAGGTACCAGGCAGGCAGCCCTGGGGTCCCTGGCTAGTGCCAAGCCATGCCCAGTTCCCGCAGGAGCACCCCGAGGAGGGCCACGCCAGCATCTACCGCTCTGTCATCATAAACACCTCCAAGGAGATGATGTGCTTCAGCGACTTCCCCATACCTGAGGACTTCCCCAACTACATGCACAACTCCAAGGTCATGGAGTACTTCCACATGTACGCCCAGCACTTCGACCTGCTCCGCCACATCCGATTCAGGGTGAGAGCCGCCAGGGTCTGGGGTGAGCGGTGAAACAGGGCCGGGGCACAGGGTGCCTGACGCCCGCTCCCCTTGCACCCAGACCAGCGTGTGCCGCGTGTCCAAGCGCCCCGACTTTGCCATCACGGGCCAGTGGGAGGTGGTGACGGAGAGCGAGGGGAAGCAGGAGGCGGCCGTCTTTGATGCTGTGCTGGTGTGCACCGGGCACCACACGGAGGCCAACCTCCCGCTGAGCACCTTCCCAGGTACTGCCCTGCGGACTGCTCGTTTGGTCCTTGGCACCCCTGGGACTACCCTCCTCTCCAGCTTAGTCCCCACTCCATCCTGGCTACTGCCAAAATGCTCCCACAGAGTAACACATCAGACAGGATTGCATGAGGATGCTGCTATCCCACCTATCTTGTTGGTCTCTTCTAGGTGCCTCCTGCTGTGCCACCAGCACCTGAGCAAAGTGCCCTGCTGGCAAGGGTCACTTCTGCCAGCTCATCTCTCCCATCAGCAACTGGCTCCCCAAGCTGCTGGCCATGCACCTGCTGGGCTCTCCAGCTCTATGGCAAGTCTTGAGATCTTGGTGCTGGTGTTGGCCTTTTATTGTTGGTGCCAGGCAAAAATGCCTGGAGGGCTTTCAGCCGTGGAGACACTATCTGGCTGGGGAACAGTCTGGAGCACACCATCACCAGGGTCTGGCAGGATGGCACAGATCACAGCTGTTCCTCTGCCCCAAAACCTAGCACCACGTAGTGTTGTGGTTTAAACCCAGCCACACAGCTTGTGCACTCACTCCCAGTGAGTGGTGCCGGGCTGGAAGCAGTCGAGGCAGGTGTGTGTGTGTGTGTGTGTGTCCCGGGGGCTTCCCCCCTTCCCCCCTCCCAGAGGGATGGGGAGGAGAATCAAAAGAATGCAACTCCCACGGGTTGAGATAAGAACAGTCCAGCAACCAATGTACAACACAAATCACCACCGCTACCACCGACGACAACAATGATAAGAGATAATAACAAGGGAAGAGAATACGATACCACCCGCCGAAAAACGAGTCCGACCCAGAAGACCCCATGTCCTTCTGGGTAGCTCCCAGTTACCTCCTGGGCATGACGTGCTGTGGTATGGAATACCTCTTTGGTCAGTTTGGGTCAGGTGTTCTGTCTCTGCTCTGTTACTGTTGCCAGTGAATGGGCATATGATGATGGTGCATTCTGTGTAAGTTTTCGCCACATGGGTCGTGTACATTCGACTTCATCTGGATCTATGGGTATATCCCCGTTATTCGGCTTGATGTGGTAGATCATCTCTATGATGGCTGATTCCCTCAGAGACTGGATGCCTTTGTCTATAGTAGTCCACTTGGCCAAACGACTCATAACATCATCCTTGTATGGAAACCTTTCTTTCACAGCTGCCAAGAGCCGCCTCCAAAGACTGAGGGACTTCTCTCTCTTGCAATTGCTTTGTCAATTCCCCCTTCTCTAGCAAGTGATCCCAGCTGCTTGGCTTCTGTACCTTCTAGTTTGTGACCATTGGCCCCATTGTCACAGCATCGGAGCAACCAGGTGGTGATGTGCTCCCCTGGTTGACGGGTAAAACCTTTTCACATATTCCGTAGCTCAGTTGAGGTCCGAGGTTGAGAAGTCACCTCTTCTTCTTCTTCGTCATGTGATGATTACTCCTGATCAGATTCTAGACGGGATGGTGAATACATTGTTTCTTTATCTTGCTTCAATCTTCTTGCCTCTTTTTTGCTTTTTCTCTTGCGTACAGGGGCAACCGATATTGGTACGAATTGGTCCTCTGGTTTAGTTGCAGTGATTATCACTGTGGTTTGAGTAGCGACTGTACTTGTTGCTGGGGGGTGGTGTAGCTGCTGTGCTTGGAGCTGGAGTAGCTGTGGTGACTGTTGCTTTGCCCTCAGATCCAGTGACATTTTTTTCCTTTTGAAGGTGCTGGAAAGCCTTGAACATGGCCCTGTAAGCATAGGCCAAGCCCCAGCACGTTGCCATGATTTGTCCGTCTCTGGTATGGCCAGACTGATCACACACCTCATTTAAATGTTTTACTAATTCTTCTGGATTTTGCAGTTGTTCGGTGGTGAAATTCCAAAGTACTGGAGGGGCCCACTGACCTAGATACTTGCCCATACTGTCCCACACACCCTGCCACTCATGGCTGTCCAGCCTCAGAGAAAATCTCTTGGTCCTCCTATATTGTCGTTTAACCCCAGACAAGACCCAAACCTGACTCTGCTTAACTTTTGAAAACAGATGAAATAGTTGTGGGCAAAATACACTCTGTATGCGTGCCAACATGGTGATCTCCATCACAATCAGCAAACAAGTCTCAAAAGCATTAAAAGGCCATTCAAAAACTTCAAAACTCACAAATAATGCTGTAAATGCTCGGGGGGGGAGGGGGGGGGTGGAACTGGGAGGGTAAAAGAATGTCTCCTTCACAGGTTGACCACCCGAGAAGGAGAAAAAAGATGTGTAATTGCTAAGCACTTTTATTATGTACCTCCCAAAGTATAAAGGTGGTGACCATACTGGGAACATAAAACATATCCGTTTCATGATCAATGATTCTATTGTATTACAAGTCATTACCACAAAGAACAATGAGACAAAAACCTTAGCCCAAGCCCCACACTTGAAAAACACTAATACAGCAAATACCAGCTGGAAGTAAGGTACGATATACTGAAACTGTGAGATCAAGAGGAACAACTTTGAGAGCCAATAAATCAGCATTGTGACGAGTGACTGTTAATCCGCTCAGATCTCAACCCCTCGGGCCCCACGTTGGGCGCCAAAAAGAACTGTTGTGGTTTAAACCCAGCCAGACAGCTTGTGCACTCACTCCCAGTGAGTGATGCTGGGCTGGAAGCAGTCGAGGCCCACATCGTTCCCCCCCGGGGGCTCCCCCCTTCCCCCCTCCTGGAGGGATGGGGAGGAGAATCGAAAGAATGCA